GCGTGGTCGGGAGCGTGGTAGGGAGAGTAGTACTAGGCCTTGTATTGAGATACCGAGGAAGCCGTAGTTGTAGTCGCCGGTATAGTAGTCGAGGGAGGAATCGTAGGCATTGTTGGGGATACCGAGGAAACTGTGGTCGTAGCAGGAATAGTGGTAGAGAGAGTAGTGCTGGGTCTTGTAGGAGATACCACAGAAGTCGTAATCGTAGTCGGTATAGTCGAAGGAGCGGTAGGCATTGTTGGGGATACTGGAGGGGCCGTAGTCGTAGTATGTATAGTAGTCGAAGGAGCGGAAGGCATTGTTGGGGATACCGAGGGGGCGGTTGTCGTGGTATGGATAGTTGTAGGAGGAGCGGTAGGCGCTGTTGGGGATACCGAGGGGGCGGTTGTCGTAGCAGGCAGAGTAGTAGAGAGGGAAGTACTAGGCCTGGTAGGAGAAACCAAAGAAGTCGTACTCACAGTAGACACAGTAGTGGAAGGAGCGGTAGGCATCGTGGGGGATACCGAAGAAGCGGAGGAAGTGAAAGAAATCGTAGCTGAGTGTGCAGTAGAAGTTGAAGGCGCTGGCGTAGCGGGCTTTGTTGTAGTGACAGGGGAGACAGAAGATGGCGTAGCAGTCGAAATACCTGGGATAGATTGAGTAGTTGACACTGTAGTAGAAGCAGTGGGAGGTGGACGAGTCGTCAAAGCAGATTCTGTGGTGGTTAGATGGACCGACGTTGTTGTACCTGGCATAACAGATGGGGTCGTGGTAGTTGAAACATGCTCTGTCTGCGTTGACACAGTTGTAGGCCTGACTGATGGGGCGGTAGTCGTAGCAGTTGGGGGAACTACAACCGCTGTCGTGGTGTAAGATGTCAATATGATTGTGGTTGTACCACCAGGACCGACACTGGGACCTCCGCTGGGACCTCCGCTGGGACCTCCGCTGGGACCTCCGCTGGGACCGACGCCAGTAGGACCAACGCTGGGGCCAACACTGGGGCCAACGCTAGGACCGACACCAGTAGGACCGACGCTGGGACCGACGCTGCTAGGGCCAACTCCAGGACCAATGCCTCCAGGAACGCCAGTCGGGCAAGGCTCGCAAACAGTTACCGTGACAGCAGCTGTAGCTTGAGCACACGGAGGGCACTGCGGGCCCGGGGGGCATGAGGGGCATTGGGGACACTGAACCTGAGGACATGGAGGGCAGCTGGGTGGCGCCGTAGGACTGATGGGAGGCACCGTTGGGGTGGAGGTCGCTATGGTAGGAGTTGGCACGGTGCTGCGAGAAGGCGTGTTGCTTCGCCTGAGATGCCTCAAAGGGTTCTCAGGATCCGCAGGCAATGACTCCCCATTGTGAACGAAGGAGCCCAAGAGAAGTGCCCAGAGGACAACCTTCTTGGGGTTGAACATTCTGAAACGCAACTAGCAAGAAGATGGTGAAATTGCAGCTTAGACCGAACAGTAGGCTGTCACCACGAAACAAAGACGAGCGCAGTAGAGGAGGAAGAAAGGCATCATGGAAACCCCAGAAGATATATGTACTGGGGCGAGCAATATACGATGATGGTCGTCGTATGTCATACAATACCCAGCCCTTCTAGAATCATTGGTTTGTTGAAAGCCAGCAATCTTTTAATTCCGTAGAGCATCATGGTGATGACCCAGCGTGTCAGCTATATGCGAGCCGGGAGAAACGTATGATTGTGTGAGCTTCCCCTCTACAGGGTGTTGAGGCGGAATAGTTGTCCGCGTGGATTGAAAGTTCCAGACACGTACGCCTCTATCATCATCTCACGCGGCCTGAGCTAATGGCAGTCGAGAAGACTATGGACTGCGCGGTTTCTTTCAAGCATGAAAGCAAGGTATATTATAGAGATATCGAGCAAATTTCCTTTCCACAGTCTTGTGGTTTTAGTCCATTGGATTGCTGGTCGTAGATCGTGATTAATTTTTTTCCCTATCTCCGGTCACGGAACTTTTTACCGCGGCACCTGTGATATGACACGGCACCTGAAGGTTCCGGATTAGTAGAGTGCCCAGGGTCTGCGCCAGCCTACATGGATCAATTTGACTGCCGTGACACAAGCTAGTCCGACGGCGTAGCAGCAAGTTGTGAAGACAATCAGGCCCCAATACTCTCCATTGCAGCGGGACAGAATTTCGCCGGCGATGGGAACACCGGTAAGAGTGCTTGATGATCATTAGCTTGTGCATTCCACATGAGTCGAGACCCTCCAGGGATAAACTCACCCGAAACTTACAACCGTATATGCTGTAGCATAATACCTTCCGTAATTTTCGATCTTGCAGAGCTGTGAAATGCAGACAGGCGTAAGGCTAATATTGCTGCCACTGGCAAAGCCGAATATGGCGCTGTACACGATGATCACAGGTACGCTATCGCCGGCTGGAAGCCAGAGACATGCATTGCAGACAAGACATAGAGCAACGGTTGCAATGAGCGTATTGAAGCGGCCCAGGTAATCGGCAACAAACCCAGGAATTCCTCTCCCGAAGAAAGAACCGGCGTTGAGAATGGCTAACATCTGGTAGGACAGTTGTTCGGAAACACCGTGGGCCAGTGAGTACGACGAGATATAGGTGATTGGGATAAACAGGCCCCATTCGATGAAAAATATTCCCAAAGTCGTGAGGGTGAACTTGGGGTCGCGGAAGATACGAAAATCGGGCATGATATTCTCCTTGGAAAACGGTTTTTTGGGCAGCCGAGACTTGATTAACAAGCAGCCGGTGATCAAGGAGACCAAGCAGATGAGACCGATTGCTCGTGTTGCCCAGGCAAATCCGATCTTGGGAAACAGCTTCTCCAAGATCAGGGGGAACGCAACACCTCCGACGGAGCCCCCCGTTGCAGCAATACCGGTTGCAATGCCGCGTTTCTCGTTGAAGAAATGGCCAATTGCGGAGATCGCAGGCGTGAACATGAGAGAAGTCCCTAGACCTCCGACCACACCGATTACGAGCATGAAATGCCAGTACTGAGTACAAAAACCCAGTGCGACCATCATCACGATGATTAAGATCGATCCGGCAAGTACAAGGAAGCGCGGCCCTCGGGCGTCAAATATGGGGCCGATTTGGATACCGCAGAAAAATGTCAGAAATGCATACATGCCAAATATCCATCCGGTAGGACCTGAACCGTAACTTTTCAGTTGATGGTCTTCCAGGTATGCTTGGAAAGTTCCGATGGTATTGACCAGACCCAGAGAGCCAAAAAGACCCATGAAACTCCCCAAGACGACCGACCACGCCTCCCAGCCGCCTTCGGGATACGTGTTTCCGTCCGCATCAGTTGTCACTCGGCTGACGGGAACCCTGTGTGCCGAGTGATCATCCTCCGAAGATTGTCTGTAAAGGCCGTCCTCGAGGTTGGCGGGCAATTCCTGCGGTGTAGACGGATGGCCGTGCGACTTTTCTGTCTCGGTAGGTCCAGCATCTGGTTTATCTACACCAGAACTCGGGAGGGTCTCGGGGATTTGGGAACTTTGCTGGGTATCAATTTCTTTGAGACCATCTTGGCCATGCGCCTCGTAACTTGTCATACTAACGGGCCCGGTGTTTGTCGCCATGCCAGCATGCTCGTCAGCTGGATCGTGCTGCTTTGAAGCCGATGTCTTCTTTGACCTCACTTTCGAAGTCGTTGTTGGGTGGAGGGTGACGAATCAAAACGAAGGCCGCAAGGTAATGACGGGACAAGACTGGTGAGCAAGACGAGGCAAGTTGGTTCCTTGACGGAAGACTTATACAATGGAGGCCCAGCGAAGACTAGGCGAAAGCACTTAGTCACCGAATGTTCTCGAGGGCCATGGGATTGGTCTTGAGCGCCGGGTGGATGTTTCTTGTCGGGCAGTTTTGCGCCAGAAGAGACCCTATTGGCGAATGATTACATGCTTTGGGGGAGCATGTCTTTTTTTTTTTTTTCCTCTCTTCTGACCTTTCCCCGCAGCAATGCACTAGCCAGGATAAGGAAGGTGTTCGGAGAAGAAAAGTGACAGCCGACGATGCCAAGGGAGGCTTCAACAACGACAAGTCGCTAAGACGCTAGTCAGCAGACGAAGAGGATAGAAGGACCAGAAGAATAATACGCAGGAAGCAAGAGGAAAAAAGTCGTCTGCGAATGGGACTGAGAACGGCAATCAGGGTCAAGGGACTCGCTCATCTTCGGAATGGGTGGGTCACCCACTGTGCCCGCTTTCGTTAGTGGCAACAGGATGAGGTTTCCAAGCCTGCCAGGGATTCGCATCTTGGCATCTCGATGGACGAGATGGTGAGATGGGTGTTTTGGGATGGTTGGTAGGGGTTCTCAGGCCAGATACGGGCAGTTTCTGCGTAGAGGGATGGGTGGCTGCAGTCCACGTCCTCGAGCTAGGGAGGCATGGGAGGGTACAGACGCAGGAATTGGTCATTCATGCTTGACCAGCGGCGAAGCGTCTGAGAACGGGAGAAAGACATCGCTTTCAACGACTGATGAACGATCATGGGAGACGAGAGACACACGACGGGGGAAGAAGAGAAGGCAACGAGAAAACGGAAGGAAAAGGAAAGCGGAAATCAGGTGACAAACAGAGGCCTAATCCGATCACAACAACAACATGGAAGAAAAGAGGAACTACTACTGTACTATCTCCGGAGTATATTATTATTATTGGACTCTGTTATTGTCTACAGTCATTGTTATTATTGCCATGAGACTTGTTATCTTCGTACCGTCAAGTCCTATCTGCGGAGTATATCCTATCGCATCTCCACTCTGTCCTATCGCCCCCGGCAAGGTTACATCGGCCCTCGTATAGCTGGGACGGATTCCACGGACGGCACGTGTGGGCTTGATATCTACGGAGTATGTCCCCAGGAGATTCGAAGCTTAGCATCCTAAGCTTCAAACTAACCGGATGGACAAGACCCGCTCCAGGTACGGAGTACTCCGTAGGCTACAGAGAATATTCCTCGCCTAGGAACTGCCCAATTAATCTACACGGAGGACGACAGCGGGGATTAATCAATGTTAGACACTATCCAGCCAGACTTATCATGCCCTCTAGCGAATCGAGGGAGCAGCTGTTGGGGATGGAACCTCAGTCGGAGATGAGGCAGCCCCCGGTCAAGCTTTGTGCCGATGATCCGTCATCTTTCCCCTCATCTCGCTGATATGCCCCAGCCGCACATTGGCTGATGACGCCCAGTTGGAGTCATGCTACGAGCGGCTGATGCCTCATGGCGTAACGATACTGCTTTTTCCCTCAGGGGTAATCGCTTTACGTCGGCCCACTGGCGTAGCTCGGACCCAGTTGGATACTACCTAGGTACCTTTTCCGTAGACTTGTTTAGGCCGACGGTATAAAATGCCGCGTCTTCCGGCTGAAGACGCCATCAATTGTTCCCCTTCTGCACCTTGTTTGCTGGGTTTTGTCCACCATGTTGTTTCGAAATCTCCTGTCGACAACGGTCCTCGCCCTGTCACTAGGCGCTGGAGATGTCCTTGCAGAACATGGACGGTTTGGCCAGATGGCCCGTGATTCTCTGGCCAAACGGACTGCCCCGCCGGTCAAAAAGTCCCATCACCAGTCGCACGACCACTTCCGGTTCCTCAGCCGCGAGACTAAGCGTACGACATGTCCTAGTCAATTGAGGTGCGTGTGCTAACCGTTTCAATAGCCTACCTGGTGAACAGCCTGCCCGATGTCGACTTCGATATCGGTGAGATGTATTCCGGGTTGGTCCCCATCGAGAAGGACAACAGCTCGCGGTCTCTGTTCTTCGTCTTCCAACCCACCATTGGGGAGCCGGTGGATGAGATCACGATTTGGCTCAATGGAGGCCCGGGCTGCAGTTCCCTCGAGGGCTTCTTCCAAGAGAACGGCCGGTTCCTTTGGCAAGCCGGGACCTTCGCGCCGGTTGAGAACCCCTACTCGTGGGTGAACTTGACCAACATGTTATGGTACGCTCGAGCCTCTCAATGTGATCTTCTCGTGTTCAACGTTAACTGGTGAGCTAGGGTCGACCAACCCGTGGGCACTGGCTTTGCCACCGGAACGCCCACCGCGGTGTCCCAGGAAGAAACAGCCGAAGACTTTATCAAGTTCTTCAAGAACTTCCAGAAACTCTTCGGAATCAAGAACTTCAAGATCTATGTCACCGGCGAGAGTTACGCGGGGCGGTACGTGCCGTACGTCTCGGCGACCATGCTCGACCAGGACGACAAGGAGTACTACGACCTGAAGGGTACGTGATTGCCCCAAATTGCATCCCATCAGCCACTAATCCCCTGACTTCACAGGTGCCATGGTCTACGACCCCTGCATCGGCCAGTTCGACTACGTGCAAGAGGAAGTGCCCGCGGTGCCCTTCGTGCAGCAGAACGCGAACTTGTTCAACTTCAACGCCAGCTTCATGGCGGAGCTCGAGAGCCTGCACGAGTCGTGCGGTTACAAGGATTTTATTGATCAGTACCTGGTGTTCCCGCCGTCGGACGTGCAGCCGCCCAAGTCGGCCAACTCCAGCGAATGCGACGTCTTCGACCTGATCTACAACGAGGCCCTGCTGGTCAACCCGTGCTGGGACGTGTACGAGGTCAATCTCATGTGCCCGCTGCAGTGGGACGTGCTCGCCTTCCCGACAGGGCTGCTATACCAGCCCGCCGGGTCGACGGTGTACTTTGACCGGCCGGACGTGAAGCGCGCCATGCACGCGCCGCTCAACGTTACCTGGGCCGAGTGTGCGAACCAGAACGTCTTCGTGGGCGGCAAGGCCGGGCCCGAGGGCGAGGGCGACCTGTCGGCGAACCCGATCGAGCACGTCCTCCCGCAGGTCATCGAGGCCACCAACCGCGTGCTCATCAGCAACGGCGACTACGACATGATCATCCTCACCAACGGTACGCTGCTGTCCATCCAGAACATGACGTGGAACGGCCAGCTGGGCTTCCAGTCGGCGCCCAGCACCCCGATCGATATCACTCTGCCGGACCTGCAGTACAAGGAGGTGTTTGAGCAGAATGGACAGCCCGGCTGGGATCTCGGTCAGGGCATCATGGGGATTCAGCACTACGAGCGTGGACTGATGTGGGCGGAGACGTTCCAGAGCGGACACATGCAGCCTCAGTATCAGCCGCGGGTGGCGTACCGCCATTTGCAGTGGCTCCTGGGACGGATTGAGACGTTGTAAGGATGGAGATGGTAGCCTGGGGTTGCAGGACATGCCGATCGAGCGGCAGACGAGTTGTGTGTCAGGTGCTACTTAGCCTAGTCGCCGGATTGTAAATAGTTGACAATTTGATGGTGATCTAACCTCCGTCTCCAGTCAGTAGCTGAAGCTCTGTCCATCCCTTGCAGGATTGACCGTATGCCACGTGCGGGATTATCTGCAGTCAAGGTAGCTCTTGAGGAGGTATGCAGAGGGTTCTCCGACAGTGAGTTTCTTGTATCAAAACAATTGATTCTGGTTCATTCGCATATCTGACTCAATAAACGAAAACCAACCTATATTGGAGCATCTTGTTGGGGAATATTGTGGGATACTATGTAGTAACTAACTGTCCACACGTGGGATACCACGAGTACATGTATGACGTCATCTATGCGATGCAGGACTCCTTGCTGTTTACATACATTTACATATACAGTTGTCATGCGTGAGATTTACGTTCATTATGCTGTAAGAATCACCCTCAAATTGCGGTGGAAGACTGATTGAATCAGCAGTGAGGTATGCCGGACTCCAGAGACATGAATTGTACTCCGTAAGGTCTATCCAGCCAACCGGGGTCGCCGACTTTATGCTCCGCAAGATGACGCTGTCTGTCTTTCTGACTGTTGATAAGTCCAGTATACAGTAAGGTAGTAGTAATAACCAAAGTGATCTCATCCCAAGGCACCTGACCTCGCCGCCTCCCGACGTCAGACCCATCCGAAGTACGTATAAGAGGGAGTGAACAGATGCACAGCACAAAAGTGAAAATCCCGATGCATCCATGGGATCGCAGAAGGCAAATATACGGCCCGATTGGCTTTAACCATCACTGGGATCTCTGTGGCCAACCGTGGTTTCCTACATCCTCGTTATCATCATCGCCCTCGCCCGCCTCTTGCTTTCATTTGCCTTCATATTTAACCCTGTTCCCTCCCCCAACTGCATCGGACTGTGTGACCCTCCGGCTTATATACATCGTCCATGACCTACCCTGTCTAATTAACGGGAACGTCCTCAGTCAGACATCTCCTGTTCTATTGTGTTTATATAATTCCAGCACTTCTTTCTATTGAGAATTTCTGTTCAGCAACAGTCGCCTCTGAGATCTGTACGCCACGCTCAGTAGCAACACCCTCGCCAACTATTGAAACCCCTTCCACCGCTCGCAACTATAGATCTGCCTTGCAACCATCCTCGTACCAAGCGAAGTAGACCGAGCCCTTACGCAAGTCCAGCTTCATTCGCATTCCTATGCCCCCGCATTCTCACCCCTAGCGACACCATACACCAGCCACCATGGTACTCTTCAATCCGTTTGCAAAACACGACCACGGCGACTTCCCCGGGGTGGTCGTGCCCCTCGCCAGTGCGCCGGCACACTCACACCCGAACCCCGAAGTAGGGAAACGCCATAGCCACGATGAGAATCAGGACAAGAACAGCCTGGACAAGGCTCCATCCGAGGAGAACGGGGTCCCCTCGTCCATCCCCGAGACCAGCCATCTGACGATCGAGGCCCTACGGGCGGAAGTCGAGGCTGATATCGGGGCGTCGGGGATAGATAGCGCTTATGACCGTATGTTTTCTTATACTCATGAGAATGACGCTCCTAGATTCTTTTCCTATGGGGTTATGTCCCTTTTTCGTGGGATTCAGATCTGATTGTTCATAGGTAAATCAAAAGTCATCAATAGAGCCATCCAAGACATCGGCATGGGCCGGTATCAATGGGAGCTGTTTTGCCTATGTGGGTTTGGCTGGCTCGCCGATAAGTAAGTTAGTGATTATCGAATTGTTCGAAAGATACTAACACAGCTACAGTCTCTGGTTACAGGTAAGCGGTGCAAACACCCTCTCATACGGCCCTAACATCACTAGGGCGTCGCCTTGACCCTGACACAACTGTCCATGGAGTTCGGCGTGTCCGAGGACCACGTTCGGTTCACCACCTGCGCGCTCTTCCTAGGCCTCTGCATAGGTGCTTCCTTCTGGGGCATCGCGTCGGATGTGATCGGACGCCGTCCGGCCTTCAACCTGACCCTGTTCATCACCGGGGTCTTCGGTCTGGCCGCTGGCGGCGGGCCAACGTGGGTTGGGTATGTCTGCGCGGTAGCAAGTGAGCGTCCAATTCTCACGTGCCCTACAGAGTATGCGCCCTATATTCCTGCCTGGGCCTTGGCGTCGGCGGTAACCTGCCCGTCGACGGCGCTCTGTTCTTAGAATTCCTGCCCTTTGCCTCCGGCAATCTCTTGACCATGCTGAGCGTCTGGTGGCCGGTGGGCAATCTCATCGCCAGGTAACTCGACCCAATCCATACTAATTGACCACTGCTAACTCCGCAGTCTCCTCGCATGGGCGTTCATCCCGAATTATACCTGCAAGAGCAACATCCCGTCCTGCCACAAGGTCGGCCCGGGCGTCGAGTGCTGCAGCAAGAGCGACAACATGGGATGGCGGTATCTCGTCATCACGCTGGGCGCGCTCACCTTCGCCATGTTCTGCTGCCGCTTCTTCCTCTTCCACCTGTACGAGTCGCCCAAGTTCCTGCTCTCGCGCGGCCGCCAGCGCGAAGCCGTCACCTCCGTGCACGGCATTGCCCACAAGAACCGCACGCAGACCTGGCTGACCGAGGAGATCCTCAACGAGATCGGCGGGTACCCGGAGACCGTGCCCAAGCAGACGCTCACTTTCGCCGAGATCGTCACGCGCTACCTCTCCAAGTTCTCGCTGCAGCGCATCCAGCCGCTCTTCCGCACCAAGCGCCTCGGCCTCACCACCGTCCTCCTCTGGTTCTGCTGGGCCACCATCGGCATGGGCTACCCGCTGTTCAACGCCTTCCTGCCGCAGTACATCAAGCGCGCCGGCGGCGGCGCCGAGCAGTCCACCTCCGTCGTCTACCGCAACTACGCCATCACCGCCATCGTCGGCGTGCCCGGCTCCATCCTCGCCTGCTTCACCGTCGACATCAAGCACATCGGCCGCAAGGGCACCATGACCGCCGCCACCCTCGTCACCGCCGTCCTGCTCTTCTGCTTCACCGCCTCCACCGACCCGGACGTCCAGCTCGTCTGCTCCGCCCTCGAGGCCTTCTTCCAGAATATCATGTACGGCGTGCTCTATGCCTACACCCCCGAGGTGTTTCCCGCCCCTAATCGCGGCACTGGCACTGGCATCGCGAGCTGTCTGAACCGTATCGCGGGGCTATGTGCGCCCCTCGTCGCGATCTATGGCGGGAGCTCGAACCCGGACGCGCCGATCTATGCCTCGGGTGGTTTGATCCTCGCTGCGTTCGTCGCTATGTGTTGTCTGCCTATCGAGACCCGTGGTAAGCAGTCTTTGTAGATATTGGGTGTCGCAGCATACAATACCTGGTATCTTTCTCTGTGGTCAGCATATACTAGATTCAGAACGCGCACTTCCTTACGTACCTTATTGCTGTATATATCGTCATGCTTGTCCCTTTTCTTTCTGAAAGAAATGTGATACTTAAATACATGGCATTGGCAGTGGCCTGTGAACTATAGCTTAGGACAACAATTAATGTTGAATCAACGTAGATTGTGAAACCTCGTCTTTGCCGTGTATCTCTTACACCACTTTACTTTACAAAATGCAGAAGCACGCAGTCTTCAAGCAGACAGAACACATCGAATCAATCAACCCTTGGCCCCGAATCTGCCCTACCACAGTATGCATATGTAGCGATCCAGCGGACGCAAGGAAACGAGGAAATTCGAATGATCAGGAGCGTTAAAAATGACATAAAATGCATCACATATGCTTCGCCAAACCCAATCCAAATAGAAAAGAAAACATATACCACCGCGCAAAAAGAAAAGAAAGAAAAACACCCGAGATATACCTATATGCGACCCATGACGCTCCGCCCATACACGTTCCAGATGAATCTCATGACCCATGATGATGTCATAGCGTAAACATTATAACTTGGTAGCAGTGTGGCCTATCTTCCATCGCGAGTTCCAGCTCATACAACCGGTTGACCATGGTGCCGTCTCTTTTCAAGCAGTGTCGCATTGTTCAAACTGAGCTCGAACGGCTGCCTCGATCGCCCGCCAATACTCTGTTTCGCCGCCGCAGCAACGTTGGCGCTGTGTTGCCCGTAGCCTTGCTGCTGTCGGGGCTGGTGCACTCTCCGCGCCTGAGCGGCATGGCTGGGAGCGCCCAGGTTGGTGGACCGTAATTTTGCTTCCATTGCTGCCACCTCCTTCGACTGTTTCTGGAGTTTGGATGGGGGATATTCGTCGTGGTCGATCGGTTGATACGTGATCTCGCCCTCGTATCCATCTTCATCATCGTAGTCTTCATTAAGTGGATTAAGAGCTGATTGGAATCGGGCAGTGGGGTTCGTTCCAGGGTAATTCCGCTGGTTTTTACGACGTTTGTTCTCTTCTTCCTGGCGGTGGACGGCATAGCCCACGTCGAAGACCTCGCGGAGGTTGATCGCTCCGGGAGAGCGGAAGTCCATCGGGCGCTCCAGGCCCGCCGAGGGCTGGTCGGACAGGCGAGCGCTGGCGGGGGCGTAGGGAGCCTGGTCGGCCGCAAAGGCATCCAGAGGCTGTTTCTGCACGTGGCGTGAAGACAATGGTGTCGCGAGCGGAGGCGCGTCGGTGGCCGCCTCTGTCGCTTCATCGGTCTGACGGATCCAGGGGTGTGCCAAGAACTCTTTAATCGAGTATCGCTGGTCGGGGTCCACCGTCAAGAGATGAGAGATCAAATCCTGAGCGGACTTGGAGATATCGTCCCACCAAGGCGACAAAAACGTGTATTGGCCGCGAGCCACCTTCTCGGTTAAGACTTGAATACTCTCGTCGTAGAAGGGCGGGAAGCCGCAGAGGAGAGTATAGAGAACGCAGCCCAACGCCCACATATCGACACTCTTAGAGTAACGCTCATCTTTAACGATCTCAGGTGCTGTATAGCCGACCGTTCCGCATGGAGTCATAGTTTGACTATCCCAGATGACCTTGGACAGACCGAAATCGGCAATCTTGATCACTCCAATGCCACCAGCGCCCTTGCCGGGAATGAATTCACCTTCGTCAACCTTGTCTTCATCGCCCGGCTGTCGTGGCTTGGGGTTTTTGCTGGGAATAAAAGGGATTGGGTAGAAGAGTAGATTCTCAGGTTTGATGTCCCTACAGTAGGGTCAGCACATGCAACAGGAGGAACGTAGAGCGAAGAAGCTTACCGATGGACAACACCAGAAGTCTCGTGGAGATACTCGATCGCCTTGGCGACCTGCAGGATAACATGACGGCTGAGGTCTTCACTGAAGTAGGTTAATCGGACGATTTGATGGAATAGCTCGCCACCAGGGCAGAGCTCCAGCACGATGTAGTAATATTGGCGGGACTCGGAAAAGTCAATCAGCTTGACGATATTCGGATGGTCTACTTGGCGCATGATCTGGACCTCTTTCAGAATATTGGCGCGCTGCGAACATGGTTAGTTGATAGGTCCTCGGTTGGAAATGTACGTGGTACAAAACTGGAGTGGCACGGTAAGGGACGACGGGGAGGGGCAGGCAGAATCAGAACGCAGGAACAGAACAAGGACGTCGACCAAGCGAGGTGGTTCGATCGACAATGGTGAGAGATTGCGCACCTCCGTAGCTTTTGGTCTCTTCTTGCGAGAAAGGAGAGGAAGATTGGGGGACTAGAGAATGATATTGGCAAAACGGTTTGGAGAGGCAAACGAACGACGACGACGACGACGACGGCGCAAGGGAAGAACAATAAGGGCTAAACGAGTGTTGAACAAGACCAACTCGACCTACCTGATTACTGTTCATCTCGAATTTCCGAACGACCTTAATGGCGACCTCGTCATACTGGCCGGTGGTGTCCTTGGCCCGGTAGACGTTGCTGAAAGCGCCATCGCCCATCTTGTCCAGCAAGATCCAGCGTTCCAGGCCAGGATACTTGGGCATCTTGGACCGTGCACTCTTTTCTTCGGCGACAATCTGCTCGATCTCCAGCTCGCGGGCTCGCCGGGACTGACCCTCGGGCGATTTGGCCGGGAGTTGAGCCGGCGCATTGTTCATCTTGTTATCAATGGCATCCAGATTGCCCGCAGCGGGTGGGTATGAGCCTTGAGGTTGACGCTGTTGTTCAGCGTGGATGGCAGAGACGTCGGTGGTGGGTTCAGCATGGGGGGTCACCAAGCGGGCTTGTTTGCCATGACGTATGAAATTTTTGAGATTTTGGATGGTACTCATGGTGGAGATGAATAATCGGAGGAGGGGGGAGGGGATAAGGGAAGAAAAGGACGGTGAAGGAAAAGGAAGAGAGAGGGAGAGAGATGAGGACAGAGGGTTTCAAGGGAGAGAAAGTAACAGGCAATGACGGAATCGTAGAAAAAATGAGTTTGTGGGTGAACGTATGAGAAGAAAGAGGTGGGCGTGGGGAAGAGACGACGGAAGGGAGGCTAAAATAATATGAAAGAGGGATGGATGGATGCGATGATGACGATGATGTCGAACCGCTAGTTTTTTCCTTCCCCTTTTTTTTTTTTTTAACCCTTTCTGTTTTTGGTTCCTTTCTGTTTGTTGGTATTTTTGACCCCGCCAAGTCAAACGGATCCAAATACCACGAGGGAATGAGAAGGGAGAAAGGGGAGAAGAGGAAAGAAAAGGATGGCAAAATGAGGACTGCTGAGTGACAGCAACAGGGGGGAATGATCAGGCAGGCAAGGAGTATGACGGAAATGAGGAGATTATGGCAATGGTGAATGATTGAATGAGTGAATAATAATGGATGAATGAATGGGGATGGATGAGGGCGTCCAGAGATGATGACGAGGGGTGTAGCGAATAAAGGACGGCGAGGCAGCAGCACGGTGGAGACAGTGACGGAATGGGAGGCGTCCAGATAAACTACCAGTCGGATCACTTGCGATGTACTCCTAGGAGGTTTGCGCTTTTGGTCGGGGGGTGCATCAGAGGAAGTCCTAGTAGTCTAACCCGCGACCCTGATCGTGACTTGATGACTCTTTCTTTACGGTGGTCTGGTCGGGGACAATCACACTGTTGTTTGCCTAATGAACTGGGAAATTAATCACAGATCCTAGGAGGCCTCTGTCGTCATGGCTGGCTTTGTCGCCCGCGAAGTTTGGTCTAAACCCCAGTGGGTATTCTTCCTCCTTGCTCGAGTAAAACGAAATTCCATGTTGAAAATGATGATAATCAACGGAGGCAAAAATAAGAATTAGAGGGGAAAAAAATGAAGAGTGAAGATGAATTCAAATAATGACGTCGATACATCGACGCATCTTCCCCTTTCGGAAGGCGCCTCATTATGTCATGGACCGACTCGGTCTGATCTAGGCCTACCTCGGTTAGCGCTAACCGATGGATTATCTCAGCGTCCAGATAGCATGCTGATTGGCCTTTTCACAGTATCATGTGACAGCGTCCAGACGGAGACCGCCGGCATCGTCATCCAGCGTCATTCTTCATCCGATCTTGGGTCAGCAAACACTCCGATGATGGGATAGCCGACTGTACCAAACGTATCTATCACTTGTGCCTTACCACTTATGCGATCATATCTCCAGGAAGCAACGGACAACAGCCATGGACGGGAGGCGCCACTCCCGAGAGTGTCGGCTACCCAGATCTACTTGTAATCAGGTGTCGATCGGTGTAATACCTGTAGAAACCATAGGACTGACGATAGTTAGGTAAGGTACTCCACGAACATGATAGTTGGTTACCAACCAGTATCTATAGGCATTAATCAAAGTAGATGTCTGTAGGTACTAACATACCTAAAGTAATCAACACAACGATTGTACCTGACTGCAGATCTGAAGGTCACACCAATCGCGCGAGAGAAAAGGCGGCGAACCATCCACGACGCCAAAAAGAAAAGTCACTGGACTGCTCTCCTCATTCCCCTCCTTTGTCAACCCAGTACGTACAATAGTACCAACCTCTACTTTCTTCCTTTTATCCCATCCCATCCCATCCTCCCCTCTCCCACAACCCTCCTCCGTACTCGACTCTGGTGCTTAATTTGAATTCCTCAGGTTCTCGCGCGCATGATGCGAGAAGATCCTCTTCTCCTCATCCTCTTTCACTGGTCGGTGTGAAACAGCCTACTGCGCGCGGGATCCGCAACGTGGAATGTCTCTTCGAATAATCTCCTGCCTTGCTGCCTTCTCTGGTCCTCTTCGGGTGATTTGTACCAACAAGATTCGCTCTTGCAGCTCGCGCCTCGTCGTTTCTCATTCCTGACTGGCAACTCTAATTTCGGATCGGTCTGGCCCCCGCCAAATAGGCTCGCCTTTTCACTGCGTACAGGCGCGGCCCGGCTGCGCTCCCGCTGGGTTTGTCCGCAAGACGCGCCTCGTGAAGGTTACACCTTACAACCCCGGCCCCCTTACTTTTTCACAATTTCATTAATCAAACCCTCCCATTCTCGGGTGTTTTCGTGCAGTCTGGCCAAACAAAGCATTCCAACGCGGCGAAGGAGCAAAGAAATCAAGAATATAGAAACACGACCACCTGTCTTTTCCGTCGTTTCGTTGTTGCTCCGCTATGCGACACCACCCAACCCTGCCAATATAGGTCAACCCCCCTGAAACGAACTCGATGTCATGTTTCTCCTCCTTTCCTCAAGAATACTGAGTCTGTGATAACTTGGGCTCTTTCGCTTCTTTGGATCTCGCGCCTTCTCATCAGGTCTCTTCTGTGTTGGGCCTCACCATGCCTGGCATGAAGATTGCTGGCACGGCACCCACCCTGGCAGAAGATCCGAATCGTCCTCTGTTCAGGGCCCACAAGTCGCTTCCTCGAAGAACAACTGTCGCTCCCAGCGTCCAGGTCATCCATGTGTCACCTGTTGACCACGTCCACGACGATTCGTCAAACGGCCCTGTTATCGCCACTGCCCCTGCTCTCCCTTTAACACCTCCCGGTGTCGCTCAAGAGGAGCTCCCAAGAAATGAGGTCGATAGGCAAAAGACCGCGTCCTCCCACTCTGTCGCGGGAGCCATGACGCCTTCGAAACCGTCCCACCCGCCAACTCCTGAAACAACACCGCCTCGAGTTACCCCAACTGTCAACCGACTGGCCGTCAGCCAATTTGGACAAGCATCGGCCTCTTCCCGTGCCGATTCCTTCCAGACAGCCTACGAGATGATGTCGGATGGGGAGACAGAAACTCCCCGGCTTTCGTCCCGGTCATCGTCGCGCTCGGTGAAGCTCCGAATGACCCCGAAACAATCGTCCGAGTCCAGCGATACTATAACTGAGGAAACGCCGGGAGTTGAGGCCATGAATTTATCGAAGTATGGCCCCTCAACTAGGCGATCCGAGGACGTCAACGATGACTTCCATGATCGGACAAAGGGCCCGGGCAATGACTCCCACGTTGCAGTCAACCCTTCACCCCGGAACGGAGTGGATGCGCCTGGCCTGAGCCTACCCCGGGTGCGCAACAAATCTCTTCAAAAGCGAGTTCGCGACACTTGCGAGCCCCGGCACAGCCCATCAGTCGAGCAGTTCCGGGAGATTATAGGCTGGCCTTCAGACAGCCAACACGATACGGACAAAGATTTTCGGAGAGTCTCGGGTGCATCCGCCGCATCATCCACGATTGAAGCTATCATTATCGATTCCCCGCGCCCCTCGAAGCGCACGTTGCGACATACGGAAAAGAGAAGCTCTCTCCGTTCAGCTAGCTCCCCCATTCCGAGGTCACAACGCACATCACTGGTCTCGAATCCGGATTCCCAGCATCGCCTCGTTCACAAGGTTGCCCGTATCACTGAGAACGACCGCAGGAGTATTGCATCGGAGATTTCCAACTCAGGAAGCTCGACGCTTGGTGTCGCACAACAGCATGTGGATGTCATTCCCGTGGTCGTCATCCCTCAGCGACGGTCGTCCTTGAAGTCTTCCGCTTCGACTAGCCAGAATCCGTCCAAAGCCGGTTCTAGACGATCAAGTCGCCGAGCGCCGACGTCAAGCAGTAGACCCGGGTCCATGGACGTACCACGCCAGAGAAAACGGACCTTGTCCGATTCTGATGCCTTCGCTGCCGGTCGAACAGAGTCCAGGGGTCGAAGTTTCGGTCCTCCGATCATTCCTCCCCGAAGCAGCTCGCTGTCTGCACCGACAAGCCGAAACAACTCTCGAACGACGTCCTTGACTTCGGAGAGCCTGCAACACCATACGATTGCCATGGACCTCAAAATGCAAACTCGCCCAGCAGAAGCCCCCGCAGAAACAGCCGACAGACATCCCAGCGGCCTTGGTCTTGGTGATGTGCCAGACGTTCCGACAACACAATCTATATTGATAGGAGTGGAGGACATGGCTCATTTAAGGCCGCCGTCGGCGCCTTTCACGCAACTCTCGATCCCATCTTCCTCTCCCGGGCCCATCGAAATCAATGAGGCCACGACGATTGCCTTCTTCCCGCACAACAACGAATCTCTGTTGCTAGTTGACCCGCGCGGTCAACAGGGCCCTCGGCCCATAGCGCCGCGAGTGGAGTACCGAAATAGCCTCGAAACACCGCAGACGCCCGTGACGCATACGCAATACGACGTAGACTCGCCGTTAAAGAACCCTCGTCGACCACCAAAGCCGCCCACATACAAGACCATCCCGCCTACGCAATCCTCCGAAGCGGATCGCCAACTGGGACAGACAACCAACGATCGCGAAACTGATGGGCGCCCAAGCCGCGGGCTTGGGTCGCTACGGCGCTGGGCAGCCCGGCCACGATCTGAGTCCTTCAACTCCTTTACGAGATCCCTGTCGCTGAGGTCCGCGAAGAACCGCAAGGCCGGTCAGGATATTGACTCCAGGCTCGATCCGTTCTGGCGACCACGCCGATTCTGGGAAGACTCGTCGGATCCAGAGGACTCTGCTCGCGACGCGCCTGCGCAGCCAGCTAGATCCGATCAAGTCATCAGCAATTCTCTGGGTCTACCCCAACAGCGAGTTGTGTTCGAAGGCCCGAAGATCTCTCGACGCGACCCGGCTACGAGGCGGCGTCTCGACGGGTCAAAGTCCCGCTACCATGCGAGTAAAGGATCCCTCATCGGCAGCGGCGTCTTTGCGCCAGAAGCGCTGTACTCGCAAACCTCCCTCCATCATCGTCAATTCCGCTCTCTCTCGTGGTGGAGACTGCGTCTCCGCTTCGGCCGTGTGCGCAGTATGCGTCAGCGTTTGCGACGGACCCTCCAGCAGCGCGCCGAGGGCAAGCGAGAGGCCCGAAGAGAGAAGCTCAAGCAAAGCATCGGCGAAGCTGTCCTTGTGGGGTCCAGCACGCAGACCAGAGCTATTGCGCGGTAGCAAATACTGCCTTCCAGATTTGCAGAACGAACTTGCATTAGACTGTTTTATACAAGAAAGAAGATAGGTATGATATGATGTTTGTTATGACTGATGATTTGTCTTCACGCTACGCATATTGATATGATTTTTGTTTTGGGCGTGTTTTTGTTTGACGATTTATGATGAACGAGGGCCGATGATACGTACATGAGATATGATGTTCTACATAATCTGAAATTTCTTTGGGACTGTATCATTATATAGCTTGATTTTAGAATGATCATTTGAACCGGCTTTAAATACCCCGAACCCCCAAGAATTTGACATAACGTTCGAAAACCACACCATAAACTCCCAACAAAACAAAAAACTATCGCACCCTCCTCCTCTCGCGGACAGCCATCCCCCCAAACTCGGCATCGCGCTCCCTCCGCCGACGCTCCAACTCCGCTCGTTCCCGCGCCTCGAAATCCCCCGCCGCCGGCTTCGAGTCCTCGCCTCGCAGCCGATCCACGGTCTTCATATTCTCCCAGAGCGGCGGGTCCAAGAACGGCTGTGGGATCCGGGAAAAGTCATACTCGACGGTGGATGCGCGTGGAGCTGGATCTGTTGTTGTCGTGGTGGTAGTGGTAGTGGCTTGGATGGGATTATGTGCGGGGCGGGCATTGGGCTGCAGAATTTTGGATTTGGGTTTTGTTAGGGCTTGTTTGGTGGGAATGAGGAGGCTTGTTTTCTCGCGAGTTGTCTGGAATGACATTTTACATGGATCTGGAAGTTTTTGAGCTTTGAGCTTTGTGGGGGAGTGGTTTGGGTTGAGTTGAATGGGATGGATGTCGAATGTCGGGAATGTCTTGCGGGGAGTAACGTAAGGCCGAGCGGAGCCCTGCCGACAGCATGAAGAGACATAGAATATTCTGGTTTGACTCATAAAAACGCCTAAGGGGTATATACAACACCGGCAAAATACGCTTTCTACAGCTTTGCCCACTCACAGAATCAAAAAGCCACATCCAGAAGACATCGTCCTCGCAAAATGAATCCAATTCACATACCGATCGACATCCTGCCGCCAAAACATCTGAAGGAACGACAAGACGCGACGCCGATCCAAGCTTCCACTGACGCGCATGACATCGATCATCGCACGCTCGATCAGTTCCTGCTTCTCCGGCAAAGCTCTGCATTCTGTGCCCGCGATGAACAGCGGCCAGACCAGATCCTGTGCATAATTCGTCCGCTGGGTCAGGTTCTCCAAGTGCTCGAGAATAGCCTCGCGGGAGGCCTGAACACTATCCTCCTGAGATGAAACGTCGTCTGCGAGCACCCGCTGGCTGTAGATCAGGCTGGCGTGGTAATACATGCACGTGAGATGGGCAAAGTCGCGCTGTGCGGCGGGAGAACTGAATTGGATTGCTTGGCTGAGATGAAGGGTTCTCTGTTTGGCCACTTCGATTTCTTCCTTCACATCTTCGAGTTGGAGCGTTTGGGGATTGGAGCCGGTGGTGAACTTGATTCGCTCAACTTGGGTCACCGAGTGCGTAATCCGGACAAAGTCGCTGAAGATGGTGATGCGATCGTGGGTGGGAATGTCGTTGGGAGTGCCATCCGTGGGGTCAAACGTAGTTAGGCCGATGAAAACGCAGGCGTAGTAGTATTCGTAGAAGAGAAAGACGTCAGCCTCCTCGAGAGAATTGGGACAGCGGATGGCTTCTTGAATGATAGCCCGGGCCCCTTGGATATGCAGCTGCCATCGAGCCGCCTCTGGGGTGAGCAATTCGAGATTGTACAGCAGTAGAGTAGATGCAAGCAGGCATCGTGCCTGGCTGGGGCAGATGGCGGCCCCAGGCGTCCTTCGCAGGGCTCCCAGCTGTTGTCGGAGGGACGACAGCGCTTGTCCCAAATAATGGAATGATATAGTCCGTAGACGGCGTGGGTACGGATGGTCGGGGGTGTACTTGTATGCGAGGTCTTGCGCCGCAATCGCGAGCACGGAGGAGAGTACAGTTGGAGACACGTGGGAGAGCGGGAGGATGATGTGTCGCCAGGGGTTCGATGGCCCATCCACCCACGCGAGTTTGCTCGCTACGCCACTGTCGAAATGGCGGAGCAACTCGGAAGACACGGTATCAAAAGAGCGTAAATCGGGTTCTATCAACATCCCCGCCGATGGTTTCTCAGGTTCCTCCCGGAGGGGTAAGGCCCTCCCCGCCAGTCTCCCCCTACTGGCAACGCCTTGGGCCCATCGCAGGACGACTCCATAACCGGGACAGACAAAGTTGCGAGAAGTGCACTTTCTGCAGTGGGGCAATGTCCGATCGCATGTTATCCGGCGGGTCCTACATCGTGGACAATCTGTGTGTCTTGTTAGGACAGCGAGGATCGAGTGGGAAGGGAATGCGGCACCTTTTGTTGCGGTCTTGACGGGGGGAAGCCTGTCAAAGGAGCCAGAGGTCATATCATGCTCATAGGGTGCCCACGTGGGAGGCAAGGGGGTCAGGGATAGGAATAGCCGAGTGTGTATCACTGATGGAGCTAGTCGTATGTAGTAGTAGTTGTAGCGGTGGTGGTCATGGGATGGCTAGAATTTTGGGGTGGAGAGAAGAAAGTCGGAGAGTCGGAGTCGGCGGTGGGGCATCGAAGCTTAAAGACGCATCTTGGCTTCCTCTTCGGGAATGGATCTATACGCCCTCGATGCGTCCAGACCCTCCACCACGTCAATGCCCGTCAGTTCTCGCACATTCGCCTGTCCAAAATATTATAGATCCTGCTGCGCTTCCTCCTCTGTCGAACCTTCGTTCTTCACAGAGTCAGTGTATGCGTTGTTCAACCTCATGACCGCATGTCATGGAACATGCACTCGATCTGCAACTGTCGATACCGGAAATCCATCATACATTCGTCACGTCCCAGGGAGATTTCTACTCTCCCCCCATTGCAGGCGTTGCTCGCATCTTCCCGCCATGTACAGAGTCAACAGATGATCTCCGGGTCAATGTCAGTCTCATCCGGATGATCAACTCGGGAGGTCCTAGTCCTACAACGCCATGCAATAGCAAGTTCAGTCTCCAGCGGTTCAAGAGACATGCCTTGACTCGGAGCCGCGGAGACAACATCTCCCAGCCAGGCAAGCATAACAGCATGGAGACAGTGGTGCATTGCAATCTCTTCCATACGCCGCACCGATTATCACGAGATGATGGAAGGCTCGCACGGGAGTTTGCTTTTTCTCTCCCCATTCCAGATGACATCCCCAGCACGACATATACGAGGCTGGGGAGCGTCTCCTATATGGTGCGGGCATCAGTAACCACGGCACTCGGAACAACAGTGGACACTACGCAACAGATTTCGATAGTGCGCCGTATGGTTCTCTCCTACTCTGAGCCAATGATTTCCATTCGGCACTACCGAAATTCTGAAATGACGACAAGGCTCTATCTGACGCCAGAACTACCACAAGACCCGACGGTCCAGATGTCATACCGTGCACGCCTGGTGGCTGAGCAAATGGTGGCCCACGGCCCACGGAAAACAGAAGTGAGACATGTCGTTGTCAAAGATTTGCAATGGAAAGTACAGGAGAGGGTTAGGGTTCTGGAGATCCCAGGTTGCAGCATTTTCAGGAGAAGTGATGTCCGCTGCAAAGCACAACATGTGCATGAACTCTGCGCGGGCAATCTTGGAGCCGCGTACTTGGGGACAGGGTCATTGGGACAAGAGTCCAAAGGTGACCACATTGAGTTCAATTTTGATATCAAGATTCCGAGAGATGCCGCTGTCTCCGAGGCGTTGAATCTATCTTCCTATGTTAATGGGAGCGGGTGGAGATGGACCAACCCAAGAGGTTGCGAGGGCAACGGGCCTCTGCAAAGAAGGGTCATAACAGTGGATCATCAACTCAAACTCGATATCATCACTGGAGAGGATACCTTCGATACGGTGACCGGAAAACTTGTGGACCGAAAGCCTCTGTTCAAATCCTTCAGTGCATTCTTTCCCCTCCCTGTCCACGACATAGACGGCAATGAGAATGTGTCTGGGGGTGTTTTCAGTTTGAATGATGATGCTCTTCCCAAATATGAAGATGCTTCTATGATGCCGCCTCACTACGAGGCAACTGGATAATATTTTGCTTAGACTATAACGAAGAATGACCTAGATACATAATACACGGTTTTTGATAGTTATTGATCTGCACTCTAGTAATAGAATAACAACGGTCACATATGGGGCTACATGTACCATTACCAATGAAGGAACACAGAGGTCCTTCCAAGGTTGCAATAGAACTCTTTGTAAACCATTAATTCTAATACAATTCATGACATATGTGCATACGGGCATGTATCGCAACCCCCAAAATCAACCGACTCCTGCGCTCCCGTGGATTTGGACGATGGCGGCCATCATCCCTGGTATATGTACAAACACAAAACTAGCCAACCTTCACAACCCAACGCCACCATACCAAAAAGAAAGATAAGAACATAAGCGGTTCTACGCGATGCCTTGAGCTTCCATCCCAGACATGGTGGAATAAGAGTACGGTAAGTCGACGAGCCCATCGAGCAGCCAATTCAATGGGTCGAACACCTCATAATTAGGCTCCATGAACCCACTTGGCAATGCACCGACCCCCATGCTGGCCTGTGTAAGCATGGGCGCCGGAGCAAGGCTAGGATCTCCTCCTGCCACTCCCGGGGTCGTTGACGCGGGCTGCAGAGCGCCGACAGACGATGAAGCAGAAGACTCAGCATTGGAATCCGGATTCGTCGGATTTTTAAGATACGCTGAAACTGATTAGCCGAATGATAGTGTTGAGTATTCGTGTGAACGACGTACCTTCGATATTGCGACCCTTAGTGCGGGCATCCTCACGCCACCGCCACACCGAGTCGTAAAGGAGCGACATGCTCATGCGGCATCGCACCTTGAGCATCAAAGAATCGTCGACGTCCGCATTGTCGGTAGGTGGTTTCGGTGAGGGCCCACCTCCCAACCTCCACATCTGGGCTAGTACCTCGGCCAAGCGCTCAGGAAGATCATTAGTCGTGACAGACACCCCTCGAATCGCCCATATTGTTCGGTTGAAGAGGCTCTTGGCGTATTCCATGTCGATATGTGCTGCAAAGAAGCTCTTGCAAAGCTTCAGAAGAGTACATCCTCCGGCAACCAGCATTTGGTAAATATAATAGGGGGTATACGATAGCACAGGGCCAACCGCTGTTTCCAAATTCATGGCAGCCTCTAAGAATGTCGTAGTCGCAACGTAGAGCGCAAGTAGGCGTTCGCGATAATCCTTGGCGGTAGTATCATCGAAGAATGCCGACAAGTGGAGGTGGAGATTGGATGCGCGCAGGTACAGATCCGTGATACCTAACCCACATTAGATCGCCTTCCATATAGACCCAGACAATTCGCTTACAGTCGTTCTGCGGTTTCAGCAGAACCTCGAGTTCATCGAAATCCCTCGACAAGAAGGAAATCAGCGTCGACCGTTCTTGATCACTGCATAGCCCAACAGGGTCTCGTCGGTTAGTATAAAGAGCCTTTGTGACCTTGTCACAAAACTTTTCAATCTCTAATCGGGGCCAGATATCTTCAGGCAACTTGAAATTGGCGTCCATGGAGTCACTCGAAGACAGTGTCCAGTCGTATAATGTTGACGGAGGCTGTCCATATCCCGTAGCAACTCTACGAGATATTAGTAAAGAAACAAACTTGAAACTTAGACGCAAGAAAGGTTCATACCGCTGTGCAACAATATTGCACACTGCCCACGTTCTCACTTTATCCCTCAATTCTTCCTCGATGAGTTCCACCCGGAATTTGCTGAAATCTTGCGTATGCGACGGGCGATGAAGGCCGAGTTGCATAGCGACCTGCATCATCATGCCGCAGAGCATGAATGTCGGGTCTGTGGACGTGCTGCTTGTGGGAAAGGGCCATGAGCAAAGCAAACACAAGGCCTTCACGACATGGTAGCTTTGTGGGATGTCCGCCAGCGTACTCCACACCAATCGTGAAACGGGGCCGGCAAGGGAGTTGAGAAGTTGAGTATCGGTCTGGTAACGGCGAGCGCCGACACTGATGATGGTCCAGAATAGCAATGGCGACGCTTTATGGTAATCTTCCGGAGACTGCTTTCGGTCAAGGAACGGAAGGAAGGGGTGGTAGAATGTAAAAAATCTAGGTATGTGATGTTAGAGGAGCGTGATTCTGCAAATAGACAAGGTTAGAAAGACATACAAATCAAATAGCTCCGTAACGCGCTCTGGAACGACAATGACATCTTCGATGCGCTTGAAGTGATGACTGCCGTTTCTCATATAGTTGGAGCCGTCGAATCCTGAGCGCAAATCCAAAAGCGATGCGACAGCTTCGTGAGAGCCCATATAGTGGTCGGAAGACATCGATGGCGTGTTGTATACCGCGGGGCTGACCTGATTGGATGCTTCTTGTTTCGGCGTATGCTGCGCGGTGGGCATAGACGATGGTATAGGAGGTTGCTGCGGTAGTACGCCTCCGTTTGCTTGTACACTGGCGATCTGTTTCCGCAGTTCAATGATCTCCCGCTCCATCTCTGCATTCCGGCTCCGCTTTCCAACTCGTTTGAAATTTGATTCAATCTTGCAGTCGAGCTTTAGGCGGCGACATCGAGAGCAATCAGTCCACGGGTCCTGGATCACATCGCACCGTAGCTAGCGCAGAAGAAGTGTATTAGTAAACACCAATATTGTAAGAAAAAGGTGACAACACGGATAGCAAAAGTCCAGGGAGTTCTCACTTTCTGCTGGCGACATTCATTGCACGCCCTCTTCACGGGCTGTCGCCTTCTTTCCTCCCGCGCATCACCCTCCTCGACATCGTCCACGCTGCCAGGAGAGCTGTCTAACCCAGCCATCATGACGTTGCGCTTCCTGACAGGGCCCGCGGCATCGGATGTTTCCGCGCCAGGCGCCGATGAATGACTGGCACTTGCCATTACTGGGCCGGTGACAGCAGAAGCATTATTACTTGCAACGCGTTTTGGATTCGTCCCTTGTAGGACCCCACCTCCTCTTCCACGGGGTGACAGTTCGAGAGTAGCCAGTCTGATTGGGGCGGTGGTGGTGGAATAGAACGGCGGGTAAAGATTGTGCCAATGGCGGAGACCAAGGACAGGAAAAAAAGAATGTCGGGGCAAAGGCTAGCGCTCACGTGGGATGGGACTGGGAGAGGAGCTACCGAGATAGCAGAGACAAGCTAGAGATTAAGGATGTGAATCGGAGGGCTGGGGAAACTGTGCTGAGGAAACGGGATTAAGCTCTTCCCAGGCCGGTGAGAATCGAGTCGAGTCGAGTCGAGTATGCGGCGAAGGATGAGTAGCCGCAGCGGGGGTGGCCGATCTCGCTCGTGACTCACGTGTTGTCGAGCACGTGATGATAACATCGCAACAACCATCATTCCGCTCCCTACGGTCTCTTCTCCGTGTTCATCTACAGCTCTATCTGACGGTTGTTACGATGAGGCGATCAACTCTCTACCCTGAGTACAGTGTACATATGCAATGACGCGAGTGTCTGACCACCACGCCGATCACTAAACCCTGAACACGACACTCAGGCCGCCTCCGAACGTCAATACAGAACGATCATTTGTGTTTCAAACCCTCCGGTCCACAGTCAGGCCATCTCTGCGACTAGGATTTGTTCTTCAAGTGGACTTATGGGGTTCGAAAAAGGGCTTCTAGAAAACCACGATGCGCCCCATAGTTCCGATGCCCACCGACCAGCCACCTTGCATCCTACGCCCCGCGAAAGGGTATCATAATTAGCCCGACACAACTAACTACTCCAATGATAGTAGAATCATCGGACCTTCTGCACGAATACCCCATTAGGAGAATGTTACGTCCCGAGGGGCTGTGTCGTTTTCTCCGCGCCCCGTGGGACTCGGATCCATGGATGACGATCCCTATTCAGCCCTGCACTGCCGCCAAGGCGAGTGCCCCATGAGATCACAAGGGAGCTTAACCATCACTATGCCCCCAGGTAGCTCTACCCAGCTGCATGAGTGAGGCTAACACTGCCGCCGCCATGGGCGAGTATTCAACACGATCCAAGTCCTCCGATTTGTTATCCGAGGGCCCTCGCCCCATGCCCAAGTAGCGCGTTCCTATTTGACCTCAGTGAATCTGACATCGCCTCCTCTCGGTTCGCTATATTAAGACCTCCAAACCCTCCACGAGGACGAACCAATTTGATCTTCCTCATTCCTTCGGTCTCTATTGTCTCATGATAATCATGGGTCCCTCTATGAAGGACCACAGCACTAAGGAGGAAAAGCCTCCAACCTACAGTGAAGTCGATCAACCACCTTTAATAATCCCACCATTGGACTTGTCTCAAAATGCCGGTCTGGCTATAGACACGACCGTCACCCAGGATGAGTGTGTCGTTCATCTTAAATTTTTGGCAATGCTAGCCGATCTTCGCGAAACTGTGGCCAGTACAAAGGATCTTTTTGGCATCCCCGACCCCAGCCCCGAACTTCATGACCAGAATTTGAACGAAGCTTTGGCCAAGGTCAAAGAAAAGAGATGGGCTGTATACACGTCGCGCGCTGCCGAACGATATGGGGCTTGGTGGAAGACTTGTGTGCCCTCTTCACGGTCTCCTGTGAGACTCCGTGATCTCAAGAAAGCTTCCTATAGCAATATTACAGATGGAGATATCCCTTTGCCCTGGTCGCGACATACGCTGCCTCCTCTTGGTAAGTGGAGCCCCCTTTCCCTAGTCCGTCATTCTGTCCTCGAAGTAACTGACAGACAAGACAGATGTACTTATGGTTTGCCATGCACACATGCTGAACCCCAGAGCTTTTCTGGAAGACTGCATTCGCCATGGCAAAATGAATTTGTGGACCGCTGGGTTCCCGTGGAGACTGATTCACGAGTGTACCGACGATCGCAATCTGGTGTACGAACCTGGAGAGACAGCCAGGGGCAACTTCTATAGGCGAACGAGTCTGCAGTGGGACAATCTACAAGACGGTTTGGAGAAGCTGCTAAAGTGCCCGAGATGTGAGAACCAGGTCTCTGTTCCTTGGACCGAGGCGGTGGCCTCCATTGTACCAGGAGAGAGATGGGAAGATTACCATGGGTTTGCAGACAAAAATTTCACGGCTACCTGTCCAACATGTGAATTCATCATCGACCACGAGAAACTGAAAGTCGACAAGTTTCGAAAAGACGTCATTGCCCTAGCACACTCAAAGCTGCCTATGCCTGGCACTTTCTATAACCTGAGGGGCGTTCCAGAGGCCTACAAAAATTCACAGAGACGTACAACACAGACGTCACTACCAAATCGTCTTCTTCAAGCCATAGAAAAAGATATCATGGACTTTACCGACGCCACAGCAGGCAAATGCTCGAGCGTTGCTGCGTTGCGCGATCTGCTCGAGTCCAAACTAAAAGACAGAAAGGTTATGAGAGTCGTGAACTCAAGTGCGGTCGGTACCACGCTGTACCCAGTGGAGAAAATAGCCTTCCGCCGGATGATGTCTCGCTATTGGGATAATGTCGGTCCATTCGCCCTGGATCTCGTTGGTGCGGTCATCCGACAGGGCACTTTCATTCAAAAGATGGATGATATCAACTGGCTGCACTCGCCCACGGTCAAAGAGACCATGCTTCGCCTCATCCGGAAATATGCCGTGTTCTTCTCCATAATGGTCACCAACCCACGCCGCATGGCCGTGCCCACGCTCGACGTTGACCTCGCCTGGCACACTCACCAGCTTACACCATATCGTTACTATACTTACTCCACCTACATGTCAGTGATGGGTGCCCGGTTCCCGATCTTCATCGACCATGATGACAAGGTTGCCGAAGACGCCCTGTCGGACGGCTTCGAGTGGACCAGCAAGATGTACAAAAAGATTACCAACGGCGAGCTCTACAGTGAGTGTACCTGTTGGTACTGCGAAGCGATCAGAGCCTCAGACCTTTACAGCAGACTTAGCATCTCCTCAAGCACCGCTAAGGCTCGCAATGCCGCCGACGATCTCCACAATCGCCCAGATATCTCCTCTGATCCCAACAAGAACCCTCATATCTCTGCTCATAACGCGGTTCGCCCTAACGAGAACTCCATGCGTGACGCAAGACGGGTGAAGTTCCTACAGCTCCAGAGTAAGTATGAGAAGGCCCGTCGTCGTGCCGAAAAACGATCCGGCAGCAAGAAGAGCGATGATAGGCGGCGGGCGGACGATCCCGGCCTCTATGCCTACCCTCTCGTATGGGGCTATCCAGTTGCTGTGCCCTACTACGGTCCATATACATGCGACCCTGGTGTCAACGCCGACACCTACCCATGCAACCCGGCTTGTATGAACCTTGCTGTCGGCGGACATGGCAATTGCGCGGCTGGCACCTGCGGTGGTGCGGTGGCTGCTGGTGGCTGCGGCGGTCTGGCAGGTTCTGGTGGATGTGCTTCTGGAGGTGGTGGAGCAGGCGGAGGATGCGGCGGCGGCGGTGGAGGGGGAGGAGGTTGTGGAGGTGGTGGCGGCGGCGGCGGTGGTGGTGGTGGTTGCGGAGGAGGCGGAGGCGGAGGCTGCTAATCGTTGTTCTTTGCTTCTTACATGTATGCCTTGTGTTATCGCGGATTTGGGATTGGCCCTCTTGGTGTTGGCCAAGTTCGTTCTCATGAGTGCTTGCTGCGCCATTACGCTTACTGCTTACTGTTTCCTGGTACCATGTACCTATATTCCCCACACCAATAGGAGACTCCTCTCTTGTCAAAGACACTGTATGAAAGATGCATGTAGGCATCTCCAAGTCGGGAATCAATGTACGATCTTTTCGATGGACCCTCCAATTCTGGTCTATATCAAATCAGAGAAATGGAAGAGAAGCTGACAGTCTAGGCGTTCAACATCTGGGAGTAGTTTCTCGTCGGCAACTTCATCATGATGCTGTCACATAGATCAGGGACCAATAAGCCGCAACGCCAAAGGGGACATTTAACCCTTGATGGAGAGACCAGAAAGAGCGTGCGAAAGTACCAGTGAGTATTCAGTTGCTGTGTTCCTTAGAAAAGCTTTCGTATTGGCAGTTGATGTTCCCTACCTAGTAGTTACTCAAAACGGCAACCCGCCATATCCCTGACGTCGTCGGAAAGAACGGGACTGCGGATAGTGGCAGATCCAGTATCAGTATGCCCGGCCAATCACTCATTACAGAAGCTGCAAACATCAGTCAACCCCGACTCGTGCGAGTCGGATTCTAGGTAGCTTCACAGACCATACGGCCGATACAATCAATGGGTCGCCGACCAGGGCTTCTTCGTCCATTCGCCGATTGAACTCGGGCTCCAGTTCACATCATAAACCCGGGGAAGCGAAACTGACGTTCATATACATAGTCGATGATCCAAAAACTTTACGAATATCTGTTCAATTCGATTTTAACACTGGTATCTACTTTTACAACCTTTGCATCGATCTCATTGTCACCATGATGCCTTTACGGCCCCACGCCCGCAACATCGGGCCACTGAAGAACGCGATTGAAGCTTCAACGCTGCGTGGGTCTAGGGCGATGTACGTTCCTCTAGTCCATCATGCTAGCCTTCAAGCCCCATATTCTTCTCAAACTCTTGCAAGGAAAATTCCTGCAAACCTGAAGACGACATATCGGCAGTCTCCAAGCCGGACATCTGTCGGTATCACTGCATCGTTGCACCGACAGCAAAATCGCCCTTTCACAGTCAGAAGTCCCTTGCTAGGATCTCAAAGTCATGATGTATACACCATTCAATCTCCCAGGTCCGGCGAGCCTAATGTGCACGCTATATTCGAGAAAGACACGGGTACATGGCAATACGTTGTTGCTGATCCTGACACTTCGAATGCCGTCATAATTGACCCAGTGTTGGACTACGATCGAACTACACAGGTCATCACCACCAAAACTGCTGATGAATTGCTTTCATTCGTGCAAAAATCCGGTTACAACGTGGCGATGATCCTCGAAACACATGTCCATGCGGATCATATAACTGCGGCCTCGTACCTACAAAATCGGCTGGCGCAAGTCCAGGATCATAAGCCTCCGATTGGCATTGGTTCACGCATTGAACAGATCCAAAAGTTGTTCAGCGAGAAATATGGGGTTGCTAAAGAGGAGTGCAGGGGGGTTTTTGGAAAGCTTTTCAAGGACGATGAGATATTCAACATTGGTGAGCTGAAGGCTCAGGCGATACACCTTCCTGGTCACACACCCGATCATCTAGGTTACAAAATCGGAGGTAAGCAGCCCAGCATAATCTTGTTCTTGGTTGCTCCTCGCTGACAGTCTCCAGATAATGTATTCTGTGGGGATTCGATTTTCCACGTCGATATTGGGACGGCGCGCTGTGATTTTCCTGGTGGCAGCGCACACGATCTTTATAGATCAGGGCGCAAGCTCCTCAGTTTGCCCGGCCAAGTCAAAATTTGGACGGGACATGACTATCCACCTGAGACGCGCGGAGATCCCGTGCCTTTCATGAGCGTGCAGGAACACAGAAGCCAAAACAAGCACCTTATGGACGGTATCACGGCCGACGCGTTCGTAACCCTACGAAAGGAGCGCGACGCAAATCTTGCAGAGCCTAGGCTGCTTCATCAATCTTTACAGATGAATATCCGGGCAGGCAGATTACCACTGCCCACGCAATCAGGCCAACGCATGCTTCACCTTCCATTGAAACTGCAAGGCATTGAATGGTGAGAAGAATGTAAAAACATGTACAATAGATGCTCCAATGCCACAAATTCTGATGCTGCGTCCTTAATATTGTATAAAGACCATGCCTTTGCGACTCTTCCGAATACCGTTCCCCGAATGATATCATAGATGAGGTACCTAAGGTAGGAACGGAGAGCTTAATAAATTGACATTATTGCAAAGATCTGATCACCGATCATGCCACTTCAGTGCTCAGTGGCAAAATGGAGCCACACGTCGAAAGTTGGTCGCCGACCTTTCTCTGGTTGCTTTGTCAGACGCCGAAGCATTCTGGACTGGTTCTATAAACTCTATAAACTCTATATAAATATCACTCTTATCATACTTGCTCATACTTGCATATTTTCCTATCCTCTTCAAGTCTGCCATCCTTATTGCCCGGCCTGGTCAAGAACCTCTCATCTTTCACAATGATGCGAAATGGCACGAGAATCCATGCCTTTACAAGGCAGTTTGTCGTCCCCACGTTGCCTGTCACTTCAGCACGACACCTCTCTACATCAACAACCCCGGTGACTTCTGCGACGCGAGATCACAAGGTCGTTGTAGTGGGAGGCGGTACGGCCGGCCTGACTATCAGTCACCAACTTCTCCGGTCGGGCAGGTTCGCACAAGATGAGATTGCTGTCATCGACCCGGCAACATGGCACCACTACCAACCTGGATGGACTCTGGTGGGCGGTGGCCTGAAGACCAAGGAGGAGCTACGACGCCCGCTAGGCGATCTGGTCAGCCCGAAACTGAGATACTACAATCAGCCCGTCTCGACATTTTCGCCGGAGGACAATCTTGTCACACTGGGCAACGGAGACAAGATCGGATACAGCCAGCTTGTCGTTGCGCCGGGCATCAAGATCGACTATAAGAGCATCAAGGGGTTGCCCGATGCTCTTGCAGACCCTAGCTCTCTCGTATCAACCATATATGGCTACGAGACCTGTGACAAGGTCTTTCAAACCATTGAAAAGCTCAAAAGGGGCACAGCCATTTTTACCCAACCTACCGGGGTGATCAAGTGCGCCGGAGCACCGCAGAAAGTGATGTGGCTTGCGTGGGACTACTGGAGGCGTGCAGGCTTGTACAATCCGACGGGTGATTCACCGATCAAGATCGGATTTGCAACTGGTCTCCCTACGATGTTCGGCGTCCCCAAGTACAGCGTGGAGCTCGACAAGTTGCGGCAAGAGCGCGGCGTCGAAGCGTACTTCCAACACGACCTGGTCGCCATTGACGGCAATACCGCGACTTTCGCCCGGCCCGATGGACAGGAACAGGTCACGAAGAAGTTCGACTTGTTGCATGTTGTGCCAAAGATGGGACCTCACGCATTCGTCAAGGACAGCGCTCTGGCAAACGATGCAGGGTTCGTTGACGTGGATGCCAGCACTACTCGCCACGTTAAATACCCCAATGTTTGGTCTGCCGGGGATGCGTCCAGTATGCCTACTTCAAAGACAGCGGCAGCAATCACCTCACAAGCACCAGTGCTAGTCCACAACTTGCTAGTCACTATGGATGGAAAGGATCCAAATTCATCCTACGACGGGTATACGTCTTGTCCGCTGGTGACGGAGTACGGCAAAGTGCTCCTTGCTGAATTCAAGTACGGTGGAGAGCCAAAAGAGACGTTCAGTTGGATGGGAATTGACCAGAAGACGCCTCGCCGTGCGTTCTATCATCTGAAGAAGGACTTCTTCCCATGGGTGTACTACAAATCGATGGTCAAGGGGACTTGGGGCGGCCCCAAGGGCTGGATCAAATAAAGACTATCATATTAGAATGAGTTTCATAGACCCGGAATATAGCGTGTGCCAAATGGAGATCATAATGAGAGTTGTTTATTAACTGTTTGTCTACCCATTCTTATAAAAAATTTGGTTACACATAAGTGGTCTCCCTCTTGGCAGTTGACTTACTAACTTATTTCCTCGGAGTCCGCGGGCCACGAACGCGGGACGATCCACGCGGCATGTTATGGAGCAATCCTCCCCCTCAACTGCCTTTCTGTCCTCGTCTCCGGTCCAACAATCAAGCCAATTCGTGACGAGGGTATCAATTGACCATGAACACGACCGGGTCTAAAGGTGTCGAGCTGTCTGGCGACATCCAGTTCATCGAGACCCCTGCAGCTACGCCCTCCAAGTTTGAAACCGGCGAGAGTTGTGGAATCTCCCTGACAAATGTCAGTCCATCACTGGCGCCAGCTTGTTACCTACCTGCCTGACCAACAGCTTGCTGACTTATTCCAAGGCCAAAGCTATCCATAATGCCCCGTTGCCAGCGGATGGTGCAGGAAACGAGAGCTTCTCCAACGTCCTGTTGGCCGGCGCCATCATCGGAGTTCCCGCCCTCTTCACGTACCTGCTGGGCGGTGGAGTGAAAACCTTCATCTTCCTTGCTCTTCTTTCCGTCCTTCCTGTCCTGGTGGCCTTCTGGACCTGGACCTCAACCTACAGCCCACGAACCAACGACAAAGTCAAGCTACCCGGCCGACCCATTGAGCACTATGTGACCTTCAAGCGCGACGAGGACCGGAACAAATGGCACGGAAGAAACAAGATCCCCATGCAGACCTTTTCGGAAATGTACCTGGATGGCTTGGTGGATTTCAATGGCGATGTGCTCGACATCATGGAATACCGGCATGACTGGGCCAGCTTTGCCTTCACCTGGGATCTGTTCAAGTTCATCGTCTTCACCTTCTTTGTCGACGTCATCTTCCACACAAAGGCCCAGGATGAGGAGCAGATCCGCCCCAACTACGACCGCGGCAACGACCATTACGCCTGGTTCCTCGGCCCGCGCATGATCTACACGTCAGGAATCATCTCCGATCCTGAACGCGAAGAAACACTGGAGGAAATGCAGGATAACAAGATGGCCATCGTTTGCGAGAAGATCGGCCTGAAGGAAGGCGAGACCATGCTGGACATTGGCTGCGGCTGGGGCACGCTGGCCAAATTCGCCAGTCTGAACTACGGCGCAAAGGTTACCGGACTCACCATTGCTGAGAACCAGACCGCCTGGGGCAATGATGCCCTCCGCAAGGCCGGCATCTCCGAGCAACAGAGCCGCATCCTCTGCATGGACTACCGTGATATCCCCCGCACGAAATACGACAAGATCACACAGCTGGAAATGGGCGAGCACGTCGGAATCCGGAAACTTACTGGGTTCTTCCGCCAGTGCTATGACATGCTGAATGATGATGGAGCCATGTACGTGCAGCTTTCTGGTCTGAGACAGGCGTGGCAGTACGAGGATTTTGTCTGGGGTCTGTATTTGAACAAATACATTTTCCGTGGCGCGGACGCTTCGACCCCCTTGTGGTACTACGTGAAATGCCTGGAACAAGCTGGATTCGAAGTTAAAGGGTGAGATTCGACTGAATTATTTTCTCGTTTCAACAAAAACTGATCGCAAACAGTATTGACACGGTTGGTGTCCACTACTCGGGCACGCTCTGGAGATGGTACCGTAACTGGGTTGGAAATGTCGAAGCCATCAAAGCCAAGTACGGTCCTAGATGGTACAGGGTATATATTCTTTGGATGCCTTTCTTCTTGGTACAATCACCACTAACGCTCGACAGATCTGGGAACTTTTCCTCGCCTGGTCGGTCATCGCCTCTCGCCAAGGCTCTGCTACCTGCTACCAGATGGTTGTCGTCAAGAATCTGAATTCGACTCACCGCATTAACGGAGTTTCCAGTCAGTATGGCCTTGCTGGTGCTCTCGCCGCGAGCAAGGCGGCGGGCAAAAATCGACTGCCGTAGACAGTCGATATTGTTATGAGTTGTTCATGGAACGAGTCGTCACCGTGGGAGCGTGCTCGCGGTGCTTCACATTTCCATATTACTCACATGGCCTCTCTTTCGCTGGGCAAGTGTCTCCGCGATAGGATAGGGTTGAGATGGAAATTCCATTGTTTCCCTGAGAGTGAATATTGCCAGAGCTTGCGATCTACAGGAGACGATTGATTACACTACGGAATACGCGGGTACTAGGGTGGATGTTTGAACGGCGTTATATAGATAGGCATCACGAATATCTAGACGGTAACCCCGGTCATTTCTCAATTTTTCTGTTCCAGAAGAAAGATAGCGTGACGATTGCTTTACCCAGTGCGCAGCACAACAAAGCAAATGATGAATTGACCTCTCGCTCCGCAAACGCACCCACAAAGCATCCCACCGCGATCATCACGACGAAGAGGATCCTCCGGTTCCGAGTCCGATTGTTCTTCAGCAGCAGCCCCGGGTCCACCACCACGTCCACGTATGCCGCCGTTGCCATTGCCGTCGTGATCTCGGTGATCTTCAGCCCCCGTCCCATGGCGACTTGACCCCCCGATGAAAAAGCCAGACACGCAATGACCCCCAACGCAGCGGGCCCGTCTGTTCGAACCGGTATCGAGTACTGGATGGCCAACGCCGCAAACACCAGCGCCGTCTGAATCAAGCTACTCATTATCAGCCACAGGCGCCGCCTGCCCCCGAAGATATTCCCCAGCTGTCCCATGACCAGTCCGCCGGCGATGAACATGCCGAGACTCATGCCGACGTTGGGGAGGCTGTAGAGACCATTCGCCAATCCCGCTGCGCCAATGGCTAGGAAAAGGGTGTTGCCGGTTTGGTTGGAGGCGAAGCACGTGTATTCTGGCCATGTGGCTGCATCTTCAATGCCGGTTGCAAAGGAGAGGAGTAGGAGTTGCGACTCGAGAACGATGTCTTCGCGGATATCGTCGTTCAAGTATCGCCAGATGTCCCGTCGGGAGAACAGGGTGTGGGCTAGTAAAAGCTGACGAGGAGATGAATTTGGGACTATAATTGTTTTCTTCTCCATTTTTTGGCGTGGTATTGTGAAGTTGTTAGTGTAGGCAGCTCGATATATAGAGATTTGGCCGGTCAAGTCGGCGACTCTCGGGGACTCCGGTGAACACCTCGCCGAATTCGCCTGTCGAGACGATTCACTGCATTATATACGTATTCTTATGCTTTAAAGCCAGGAAAGTTGAATGAGTACATACGTAGAACATCATCTACTCCGTCCCTGACGATCGTGCCAAGATGCAAGGAGAGTGAATCAGAGTAGCATAACTTTTCCTTTCTTGTTTAGCTCCCTTGATGATCTGCAATCCCAGCGTCCATCCGTGTCTATATTCGCCTCATCAGTGTTACCCAGCATATTTGATTGCGTAGCAGATGATAAGTAGGCCAAAACAGGCAAAGAGCTACTAGTTAAGATCTTCCTTCACAGCGCTTCAGATCTACAAACATTCCGCAGTCTCATAGTTAATTACGTACCTTAGTAAGTCTTGGATTAACCTTAGTTACGAGTCGGACGATTCAATCATCTATTAACAGCTTTTAAAAAGCTATAGAAGATTTAAAGATAAGTATCGACTGGAGGGGATGAGCCAACTGAAGTGTTACAGCGTCGGCCTTGCGCGTTCACTGTCTCAGCATAATCATTCCCTATAAAACCCACTGGTAATACCTCGATGGCAAAAAGGCACGAGATCTGCGCATCTAACCTTGGAAGATCGTCGACTGCCCTGTCTTGAGCATACTGCATGCGGTTATCTTGGAGTATCTCTGCGTAGTATGTCGCCTCAGCTCTTGTGCTTCTGACTTCAGAAAGCCCATACTCTGGACCACTTCCCTCTTGTGCACACACCAATATCCCAGCGCTATAGTGTGTAGGGGAGAAAGATAATGCCTTGCTAAATAACCTAGCGAGCTGATAAGTCGACGGAATAAGCTATGGGAACACATCTGACCTATTCGTGAACACACTAAGAGGCCCTATATAGTACAAACTACATGAGAGTAACTGGTCTAGCGGAAGTCGGAATGGATAGTTACATCCGAGCCCGAATCCCACCGAAGAAGCATGGGTGAACCACCAAACGCTTCGCCATCCCGAAATATCCGACATCATCGAAAGGGTCGTCTATAGAATTCCTTACTGTCCCCGTCAGTGACCCGCCCTAAAGGTTGCGTATGACATCAACCATCTTCCGGACCAGGTCCAGATATATAGACTCCTGGCCGCCGGGGCAAGCTCAAAATCCCACAAGCTACCTCTGTCGTTTAGAATCAGCTTTCTCCAGCTCAATACCCCAGAACGAAACACCATGGACAAATTGAAGGATACCCTCAATTCGGCGAGTGGAACTGCCAAGGAGCAGGTCGACAACGTTTACAACCAAGGTAAGTGGTGGAATGACCATTCCTGAGATGCGCAGGGAACCTTATTGACTTTCATGCAGTCAATGACAAGACCGGTATGTCCTAGATGCTATCTATGCTGTGCCCATTGGCATGTCTGATCGAGGCTGATCGTACATAGGGGGCTCCGGTAGCAAAGCCGGCGAATACCTGAACAAGGGCAAGGACCAGGCTTCGTCCGCAATCGACTCCGCCAAGCAAACGGCTCAGAAGGCCATGGGCCAAAACAACCAGTAAGAACGGTAAATTGGGCTGCTCTTTGGAGAAGATGCGAGAGTCAGTCAATAGTCTGTCGGATGATGATCTACCGTGATGCAGATGCGTTAGGTAGCAGTTAATCTCGTGTCTACATCCCTTGGCTCAACACGCGGCTTTAGAATAGGGGAACATAATCTATGTTGTCTTGTAAAAATTGCAGTGCCGACTTTCCAAGTATCACCGCCGGTCAAGGCTTGGTTTTGTAGATGGTAATACAAGACGCTCAATCTCTTCAGAGAGCGAACCGTCGAAGGAGCAAGAATTTTCACCCTGGAATATATCTTGCGAGCTCGATTATCCTATTATGCAACAAATCGATCACCTATCAAGAGTCATGATCGCGACGTAGCCCAAATATTTCGATTGCATCCTCTCACCTCAAGGGCGATGTTGCTTGCTTGCCACTTCTACATGTGCCGCAATTGTTAGTTGCCCATAAACTACCTTCTCTCACCCACAATAAAAGTTCCACATCCTATAATCGCAGACACTGAAAGCGTATAGTCAATATTGTAAGGATTTTATTGTGCTGTAAGGGCAAATATTAGGCTTTGGCCCCAGTATATTGCGTGCGGTGCGAGAAAAACATTGTCGGGTGGATAAAGTACGAAGGTAATAGAAGCTTTGAAGGCGCTCTTATCGCTGAAAGACACGAAATCCGCCCTGGACTGGGCGGAACACAAAGGCCAAGGGTATATGTGGCAGAAACGCACACTTAATAAGAATAGATAAAGACAATCTTTCAAGACATAGACCAACCGCGTGAGTTGCACCAGAGCCTACATCACTATACACTTGTTCCTCCGCTTGCTCCTCTCGTAGATGGTTTGTTCATTCCATTCTTCGATGCGTCTTCTCCAGAGGTCGTTGGACGGCTGCGAGCTTGTAGAAAGGGTCGGATCAGTAGATGCCCGACGATTCAAGTGCGGTATTGCTTGCGTTTGTCGTAAGTCTTGCGACTGTGAACGTCTGTCTGCGGCTCTATGATATCCGGGCCGTAACCACGAATCTTGGGGGGAGGTGGGAGAATAGTAACTAGGATCCGCAACTTGTAGATTCGGAGAGGACAGAGAATATGGATGGTGATTAACATTGCCAGCCATAGGCGGTACCGCATGCTGCAGATTTAGCAGCTCGTCTTCGATTGGCGGTGCCGTAGAAGGTCCGGTCTGGTTTGCCGTTGCCGAAGGTACCTGTGATGGGGCTGCCAGCGTCGGTTCGAATGGAAGAGGGAAGGTTGGCGTTCCTTGGGAGGATGCATCTGCGATTGGGGGAAGTCTGGATATAGAGGTAGCCGGTCGATCGGCTTGTACTTGGACTGAAGCTTGTGGCACAGAGAAGGCATCGACACTCCGTGGTGAACGACTGGCAGAGCTCGATCTCCGCCGGAAGATGCTGGGCACCCGGTCGAGTGTTTCGCCTCTCGAATTCCTTCTCATGCGAGAGGCTAACCTAGACCCGGAGATAGTATTCAAGCGCTGCAAGGTCGTCCGGGATGACGACTCTTCCGCCATGTTGTCCAAACGAGTGGTTTGGGATCTTCGTATTTGAGATGGCACATCGCTCACTCTCTGTACCGGCTCAGTCCTCGAGGGAAGAAGAGTCCGACGGAGATGTTCCGGTAATGGCGCATCAGGTTCACGAGAGTACGGAGGCGGAGGAGGTACCCAGTTATCTGCATCGCTTTCGTGAGGTATTTGGAAGATTGGAGGAACAGCTCGACTGTCGTAGATACGACGCGACTCATCGCGGTATCGCGGATTGTATCGTCCACGACTGGCTGCTGCTGCAGTAGCCGCACGACGCAATGTATCCCTGGACCGCGGCTGAGTATTGTCGTAAGGCATATCCAAGCCCTGAAGGGTCTCATCCTCGCCCAAGCCATTGGACGAAGTCGAGAGAACGGAACTATTTCGACGTCGTTGAAATGAGTGTGTCTGTGCAATAGAAGTGGCTGCTGGGTAAGACTCCCGAGCACCTCTCATCCGCAGATTATCATTGCGACGATGCAATCGCGTCCTTCGTCTTTCAAGCTCGACTTCAGTGTCCAGACTAGAGTTCGGCTCATGTAACATCTTAGGTTGCGCCTCGCCAATCTCGATACTCATTTCCGTGAGACTACCGTTGTTGGTCGAGCGCTTGAAATCCAGGAGGAGCACCCGACCACCATCCACCGGGACATCTTCGTCACCAATAGTAGGGGGCCTGACGCCACCAGGGGCGACAGCCACCAGTCTACGGTGGCCAACCATTAGGTTGGAATCGCCCACCCAGCGAATTGCAGTCACACCGGACATATCACTCAGTTTGTGACCGCTAATGATCATCTTGGGCCTCGTAATGGACTCCTGTAGCCGAGTCAGGTTGTCTTGTGGTGGGTCCGTGGAAGTCGTCGCTTCCGAATCACTTGGTTCACCGTTGACTACCTCAGATGCAGCCGACTGGGTCGATACAGGTGCGATGTCAAGCCGGTCTGGTATGCCATATATCCAAATTCCAGACTCATGGAATCCCAACGCGGCTAGTTCCCCGGTACAGTCAACCGTGGGAGGCATATTCGGAGCCGACTCCTCCAGCCCATTCTCTGCAATGGGGCTTGTGAAATATGCGGTGCCTGAATTGATGTTGCCGGCCCCGACTGCTCTGAATGCGGCGACCTCTTTATCGAAGCCCAGGATCCAATTCCCGTCGCCCTCTGTATGTAGAGGAAGAAGGCAGGCATGGCTATATCCCTGAATTATGTCAGGGAACAAAATCTGTGTCGTCCACATGCGTATCTGGGCATCTCTAGGGGAAGACTCGGCATCCGGTTCTGTAAAAAAGGGCACTGAAATGGTGACCAAGCCTGCGTGCTGCGCGTCCTCGCAGGAACCCAGTAGCATGACCCCGTCCGGAGAGAATGACATCGAATTTACCCCTGCGCACCGGACAGCCCTTCGTTCGGTGACCAAAGCAGTTTCCCCGATGGCCTGCACTTCAATCCTGTCGCTATATGCAATCGCGAGAACTCCTCCCGTGGGAGAGAGCGCCAGGGCTTGTGGAACGTCGGTTAACTTGAGATCTTGTATATGCCGTGCTTCATCACTCGACAGACTGTAAATATTAACCTGGTGGCTGGAGGAGGCTACGGCCAGAATCGACCCATCGTCAAGAATTGTCGCGTGCAGCGGACGTCTCCATGTCTTTAACTCGTGCCTGACCACCGCAGGATCCGAGGTCACATCAAGAACGACAATCCTAGAGGAACTGAGGCAGAGAATAAGCAGCGAATTCGGTGAAAAGGAGAATCGAAAGGCCTCTCCTTGTGGAAAAGCTGTCGAAGAGCTCATGGAAGTCGAGATCAATTTGATCAGGGTTGTGCGGGGTCGTAGGAAAACCTCGAAGGCATTCCGTCTGATCTCGGCGAAAAAGTCACGTTTAAGACGGGCCAGATCGTTCGTGCGAGCCGCACCGGGGGAAGCACTGGTGGCTTTTTGCGTCAAGGCGTAGGAGGGACAGCGAGAAAGCTGATGCGCATACAGCGACGAGGAGTCTGAGATCCGTCTCCATTTTCGGTTCAACAGTGCCAAGGATGCGAATGTATTCGCATCAACGATGTAGAGGATGCTATGACGACGGTTAAAATAGCTCTGGATTCATGAGACGACGCGAGTGGTAGTCGGGAGATTGCGAGCGTATAAACCGTAGCACGCGGCATTCGGGAGAGAGATATCCATGGGACTCACTTCTCAATTACGGTGCGAGGCAGACGGTGGAAAGGCGACAAATCCCGCTCATTTGTGCCTGCGGGGGTCTTCGGGCGTCGATCTGGATGGGGCTGAATGGACGAACTTGAAGACTGCTGATGGTGATGGTCGGGTGGGTGATGATGGTGCTGCGGCGGTTCGGTGGTGTCGTTCGGAGGACTCCCTAATCGCTCCTCCGCGCTAGACCCCGGAACATCCTCCTCCATGTTCGAATCACACGGTTAACTGAGCGGTCGACATTTGCCAGGAGACAAATGCATGCCTAGATCCAATTGAGTAGGGCATCCAACATCTTCTCCCCGAATGGAGTGAGGAGCAAGGGTTGGAAGCAGGAAATTAGGAGAGAAGGACGGAGACACAGCCTAGCGGTGGTTGGTGGCTGTGTTGAGCGTCCCGCTGCAACGGTGATCGGTCTGAGAGTGGGATGCAGTGAAACCGAGGATAATTCCACGGGATCAGTTCATATCGGTACCTTGTCGATCAAGCGGGCCAGATTGGCGATGACAGATGTGATCGATCAGAGAGCGAACCCCACATGAGATGATCGAGGAGAGCAGGTCCTTGTCAGGCGAGATGATAACAAGGCGGAGTAATAATAATGAAGATGCTCGGGGACTGCGGCGCCGACTGCCTACGTAGCTAGGTACCTAGGTTGGTTAGTAACTAGTTACGATATAAATAGAGGTGGCACGTGGTTGGTCTGTGATGCTGCTGACTCATCTTCCCCCACATTCTGCCTAGCGCCTCCCGCTTGATGCCTGCAGAAACCTCAGGCCAAAATTAACCGCAAAAAAAAAAAGGGGAAAAAAAAAAATAAAAAAAGAGCGGGCCATCGCTGACCTCCGACAAACCGCTCCATGCCGACTGCTCGCCTCTTTCCCCACGTTGAGTACCATGAGGGTCTTTGCGCGACGTCGGCTTTAGTTTCTTTGGGTCCAATGTCGCCTGCATGGGCCATGCGCTAGTCCATTGAACGTTCCCTTCTCGCTGGAAACCCTTTTATTCTTTTCTTTCTCTTCCTGCAGATCCGACCGACCCATACCGACTTGATTACTACCCCTCAGCGCCCCCGATTTTCTCCAACCCGTCCCGGTCCTCACCCGAGTTGACTCAATCTGCGCGCGCATTCGCCCTTTGAATCGCTACAAGCGCATGACTGTTGTTTTGTTTTAATTCTCTCTGGATTGCGGCGCTCATCATGCCGCCTGCGACCACTCAAGGCAGTTCATCTCAGAAACTGGTCTCGCCCGGATTCAACGCCGGCGCCAGACCCTACCGTTCGCACAAGGTCAGGGCGTGCGATCTGTGTCGCAAGCGCAAATCGCGATGCACCGTGGACATCCCCGGTCAGTCGTGTCTTCTATGTCGAGTGCAGGGAGCCGATTGCCATTACCAGGAAGAACCAGCGACCCATGACCCGTCGGTTCCCAATGGGTCGGATGCGAAAGCATGGTCCGTGGATCAGATCGGGGATGACATGCGATCAGGTCAGAAACGCAAGCGCGAGACAACCAGTAACTCTCCTCCCAACACCAGTCGCCGACGAGACAACACCGATTCCGTTATCGACAGCCGCGGAAGCGAACCCTCCCGACTCGGAGTCGATGACCCTCATAACCAATCGGTCCACATCGTTGGACCGGTTGTCGCCGACGATGCGCAAGTGATTGAGAAGTATACGGAGCGTTCGAATAAGAACGTGGAGCCGAAAAGTCACCCATACAATGTGTATTCCAACGACCCGCGGAAACCGATCCTCTATACCACCGTTTCAAGACGCAGACAGGGCATGCGCGTGGGCGTACCACCGGGAGAAAATCAGAAAGAAATTTTGGAGCAAATACTCGGTCCCTTCAGGCACGATCTCGTTCGTCTATTCATAGACAAGTTCAATATCGCGTTTCCTATTTTCGACGGGGAGAGTTTCTGGGATGCCTATATTTCAGAGACAACAGGGGACCCCCCAGCGTCTCTTATTTGCCAGGTGTACTCCATGTCTCTGGTTTACTGGAAGCATACTCCAAAACTTGCCTGTCATCCCAAGCCGGACGTGCGATATGCCGTCAATATGACTGTTGCCGCACTTCATGAAGAGTTCTCCGCACCAGGTCTGTCGACGATCAGCGCCGCGTTGATCGATCTCACCGGTCGTCCGATATTCTCCATGACCGGTAATGCGATCAGCTGTGGTCGGATGATCTCTCTCGCTCATTGTCTCGGCCTGAATCGGGACCCCAGTCACTGGAAGCTATCCCGCCGTGAGAAGGATAATCGCATCCGATTATGGTGGGGTGTGGTCATCCATGATCGCTGGTAAGAACATCAATCCGCCGTACTTTCTCATGACTATCAGTCTGCTAACAACCATGGAAATTGTAGGGGAAGCTTTGGCCACGGAGTACCTCCACAGATCGCCCGGAATCAATACGATGTTCCTCTTCCTACCGTTGACACCCTGTTGCCACAGACGAATCGCACTACAGAGCGCATGCGAGCTGCGCATTGTCACATCGCTCTCTGTCGGCTCACAGAAATCCTGGGAGAGCTCCTACCACTTGTGTACGGACTGCAGCAACGCTATGCCCGCGAGACCACCAAAAAAGTCAGACAGATCCGGACAGATCTGGATATGTGGGAGGATTCCCTTTCTGACTGGTTAAGATCGCCTGCTGTAAACACCGCAGAGGAGCGAATTTCGGGGACAAGCAGTCTGCATTTGGCGTTCCTGGCTGTCAAAATGCTTGTCAGCCGGGTTGAGCTCACCGTAAGTAAACCACCCTCGTCGGCCGCCTCGGCGCCTTGCCCTATAATCCTAACGTTCAAATGCAGGAAGTGAATAATGCCGAGACCGACAATCCAGAAGCGCGCCGCTACTTCCAAACCGAATGTCGTAGGTCGGCGGAGGAGATAGTTGACTTCATCTCCTCGCTCCGGAAGGATAACTTCCAGGAGTTCTGGCTGCCCTGTACGCGATCTCTCATCATACCACCTCTATAGATACAAAGCTAACGCCTCTGCAGACAGCGCATTCCACCTCACCTCCACAGCGACCTTACTCGTCCGCTGCGCCCTCGAAACAACCGACAACGAGGTCGCTCGTGCCTGTCTCGCCAAGGTCGAAGCGTTCCGGTCAATACTATCCCGCGTTCGCGAAGAAGAAGACTGGGATGTGGCGGACATGTGCCTGGATCACTGCGAGCGAATCCTCAACCGGCTCCCTGGCACTGGAGCCACGTTCGATCTGGCCTTCAACGGGCAGCCCGATAACCGTCTGGTCAACCCCGCGGCGATATCGCTGCCTGAGACGCAGACAAATAATGATATCGTCGACGACATGATGTCCATCTCGAATACGTTCGGTACCATGGACGGGTTCCCCTTCGATATGACGGGTATCTGGGACGTATCTGTTTTCCAGGACGTCAACCTGACTTGACCCAGTCAATTGTTTTATTATTGAAACGGTGTCGCGGGGAAGGGAATGCGCGGGCTTCTCTAATTCGTTTTTGAAATATACCCAGCCTATATGCTTTTTGTTCTTCTTAATTCAACATTCGCGAACATCCTTCGGTGTTCTATCACGCAATGAACGCCACCGCAGCCAGCCGCTTCTTCTGTCCTCAAGTGCAGGCATTAAAACTATAATCCAATTTATACAGAATCCAAACGAACAACCGATGCTATTTTACAGTCACCCATGATGCTCAAGAGCCAAACAAGCCTCTAGTCATAACCCCACACCCCAAAACAAAAACAGCACCGTAGGCACATACATTAAAATGAATGGAGAGGAAAGATGGTTCTCTTCATGGCACTCGATTCAAGCCATAGCCCGCCAGACACAGACCTATTAGTTCTTGCCAGCACCGAACATGCTGGTGAAAGAACCCTTCATCTGCGCCATCTGCTCCTGGCGGGCCTTCTCCTCTTCGGCGGCCATCTCTGCCAGCCACTTCTCTCCGTTCTCGCGGATTTCCTTCTCAATCATCTCATAGTTCTTCTGGCCACGCTCCCGGATCTGGTCCCAGAGCATCTTACCCTGGGCAAGACCTTCCGAAGGAGACTGCTCGCCGTCGAGGGTGCGCGTGGACTTCAGTCCAAGAGCAGAAGCCAAGCTGCCCATTCCCACCTTGGGCCGCTTCTTCTGCTCCTCGGCCAGTTCCTTTTCGAACCGCTCGCGCATGGCCTTCTCACGCTTGGCGAACTCGACGGGGATGTTAGTGCCCTCGAACGACTTCAGGACGGTCCGCACATCATCCACGCCCATACCGGCCATGTACTCCAGGAAGGGGATCAGCGCAACCAGAGTCTTGTCCTTGGGGTCACCGAGCCACTTGTCCAGAATAATTGCGTTCTCGGGCTGCAGACGGGCATGCTCTTCCTTGGTGTCGATCAAGATCACCTTGGACAGGTCGCGGTTCAGGTAAGAGAGATCCTGCGCAGTAAGAATCAGCGATCAGTGTCCCAATTGGTTGTCATTCAAGCATACCTTGATGTATTCACCGTCCTTGTACCGGGTAGCCTCTCTGAACAGGGGCCAGCGGATGATACGGTAGGGGTCGAGTTTCCGGAGGACCTGGTCGGCCATCATGCTGGGCACGCTGGTGAAGAGGACCAGCTCGTAGTACTGGTTAAGGTAACGAAGGAAATAGTCGACACCAGGCCGCTTGGCAACACGCCAGCCGTGTTCACGGCTCCACTCGCTGTGCACCAAAAGATCCTCCAGACTCAGGACCAGCGTGTAGGGCTGGCGCATGTTGGGGTCCTCGTCGGGAAGCAACTTCGGGAAGGCGGGATCCTTATAGTAGCTGGTAAGATCGCTGAACCGCGCCTTCACCCGGTTGTACCAGAGGCCGAGTCCCCATCCGGATGGGGTCTCCGGGTGCGCCGCCTCTTCCTCCGCCGTCTCCCAGTTGCGGCCGAGGTATGCAACTCCACCGGCGCCGGCGAGTAGGAAAAGCACATACATCAGGTTGGCCATACGGGCCCGTCGGCGGTCGAGGGAGGATTCGTAACGGTCTCTGGGGATCTCGCCGCCGGAGCCGTCGTCGGTATATTCCTCCTCGGCACGGGAGGGATCTTCGGTGAGGTTCAGGGGAGTCGGTCCACGCTTTTTCTGACGTGCCTCCAATTCCGCCGCGAGGGTTGAGGGGATACCCTGGGTGAGATCGGGGAGGGGTTTCTGCGGCGCCGCATCCTGTTCGGGGGTTGTGGACTGATCGAGTCGGTTCCCGTCAGCGTCCGTTCGTCACATCCTCCTCGGAGAACATCTACTTACAGGCTCAGACGTCTTCTGAGAGGAATTCTTCTGCGCATCGGCAGGGGTGTCGAACTCGGGCTGTTCTGGCGCAGGCTCTTGTTGCTGGGAAGCTGAGGTCGACTCCGGTTTAGGCGGCTTCACGGAATCGGGAAGCTTATAAGGAGCCTTGGGCTTGCCGACCTTTGCGTACCATCGGGCGTGGGAGAGGGGAAGAGTCGAGACACGAACTGTGGAGGCAAGGACATTGGGCCTCGTCAGAGGCAGGACTGCACGGCTAAGCATGATGTGAAGACGAAAGGAAGGGCATGTAATTAATTAAAAAGTTGAATACACGGAATGGGAAGGGTATGAGGGGGAAAAAAAAAAGAGGAATTCGACCGGTCGACTCCAGCTCTACACCAGAGAGAAGAGATCAGACGAGAAACGTCAGACCGGGCAAGAAGAAGATGAGAGTCGTTGTACAGGTCGTTCTGGTTTCGAGGTTCGACCGAGTCTAGCAGGTTGCGGATCGGAAAAGTCGCAGCGGCTGTCGGTGCGGGGCGGCACAGACACCTACTTGGCAGTTTCCCCACCGCTTTAAAATCTCCCGTCTTCTGCCGATTTCTCTGTTCCCTTTCTCTTCTTTTTCTTCTCCAATTTTGAAAGTTGATTCAACCCAGACAATTTGACCCTTCACGCTTTCTCAAATGCATGCCGGGTTGTATTAGCTGGGGAGACCAATGAAGCTCGTCTTCAATCCTATCCCCAAGAGCTGCAGTTTAGGACTCCTGTGAGGCTGTGGCCCCGTTGGTGGGATATATAACTACCTAGTTTTGCTCGCATCATGCAAATGGTGGTTTGATCTCTATATCGTCATGAAAAGAAAAGTGTATCTCTGTTAATTCGCCGAGTTCAGTCACCTGCAATCATGGGATGAACTGAAGAAACGTTCGGAGACATAAAGAAGAGTTTGCATAGAATTGTCCTGCGTATTCCCGATAGACAGTCGTTACTTGCCCTCGTCCGCCATGGCATCGTCACTCTCCGAGGCTCTAGAGAAAGTCCACCTTGAGGATGTCCCCTCGAAACCAAAACATCTCGACGAGCGAGACGACACGGAAGAAGAAGACGAAGATATCGAAGACACAGGTCCGTCGGCTCCATTCCGCTTCTTCGACCTCCCGTCGGAGATCCGTCTGCGCATCTACTCGTTCGTCCTCTTCACTCCGCGGCGAAAGAGGGCCCTCCGTCCCAACGGGAGTGTCGGCGCATCCTCGAAGAATCCGCCTATATCGCCCTCATCGCATCGCATTGCACTCTTCCTCGTGTCACGACGCATGCACGATGAAGCCACTCATTATTTCTACTCGCATCTCATCTTCCGTCTCTTCCCCATTCAAGATTACTGTCGCACGCCAACCGTCCGCTTCATCCCGTACACGTACCTCCCTTCCATTACCTCCGCCGAGTTGATCTTGGGCTCCAGCTGGACCGACCCCCCTCAATCATGGATCGTCAATCGTGGTCTGGGCTTGGAGGAGATGACCGGTCTCCACACGTTGCGAGTCTTTATCGAGTGCGATCCTTCTCACCCCGTGTTCGAGGGGTTCCGCATATCCAAAAACTTCTACACGGACTTCGCTGGTGGGCTCTTGCAACAGGTCCTCAAGAGGCTGCCGAATCTGGTCAATGTCGAGTTCGATGGGAATCCCTCTGTCCGTAAGAGTGACGACTTGATGAGGCGTCTACTCCATGAGACTCGGGCCGCGAAGAAAAAGATTATGTGGGGACCTCAACGGGGATGGACTGCTTCCGATGCAGATGAAGGGCTGCCGAAACCCATGGTCTACGAGCTCACTTCAACAAAGCGAACAGTGTCGTCACGGAACGTTCCGTTGTTGAAATGATGCCGTATTATCCTCTTATGCATTTGGGAAGAAAATCACACCATGTACAAGTGATATAGATGTATATACAACAAGTCACATCCAGACTAGAATCTACTCCTCAGCGCGAAGTCGGACGTCATATATTCAATCATTCAAAGTAGGGCTATCTGTACGTAGGAGCACTATGCCTACGAGATGGATCTCCATAGCATGGGCTTTCTGTACGTGTATTAAACCACAGAACATTAGATCTCTTGCTTCACCACTCGTATATCATCTATAGGTCTTCGTCCACTTCCATGCCAGTCCCATTTTGAGCGTCCTTTCCATTTGATAGCCGAGCCACGGAAGCCTCCTTGTCGATCATCTGCCGCGATACGGCAACAATGTTGTCTTCGATCAACTGCTGGCTGACGTCCTCGATGTCTGTAAAGCGTTTGTTAGCGTCAGAGGTCGAGCAAAAACAGAATTTCGAGGCTTATAACGTACGCTTCTTGGGGTCCACCTTTCCAACGTATCTCGTCTTCAGCTGATCTTTGCTGAGTTCTGTCTCTTCCTTCACCCGCTTCTCGTAGCCCTCCGCCAAGCTCACAAGCTGCTTCATGCGGTCCACATTGTGCTGTCCCTCCTCGTGGAAGTCCTTCATCTGCAGAGCCTCCGTCCAGACATGCTTGTGCAGGTTCATCAGCATGTTCTCCTCCAGCCCGGTCTTACGGTAGTTGATGGCAATGCTGTAGTAGTGGCGGTTCAGGCCGTGGATCAATGCCTGGATGGAGGGCTTGTTCAGATGGCCCAGGTTGGAGGTAGTCTGGCGGGGCTCCTGACCCATAACGACGGTCTGGGGTTGGATCAGACGGAACGCGTCGATGACGACCTTACCCTTGACGGACTGAATCGGATCGACGACAACCGCAACAGCACGAGGGGTCAGCTGCTCGAAGGACTGCTGGGTGTTGATATCGACGGACGAAAGCCAGCATCCAAAACCGGGATGAGAATGGTACCAGCCAACGACAGTTTCCGGCCTGCATGAAAGGCTCCTGTCAGCATATTCCTACTTATTTCCCCACAAACCTGCAGAATCCAAGCTTACCGTCCTGTTTGTCGAAGCATATCCATCATCTTGGTCTGGAAGACGGGATCCACGGCTTCGACACTGACGCCAGTACCGCTTTGAGGCATAGCGAACACATCAACCACTCGAACTGTGTATTCATCCACAAATTCTCCCAGCATCAAGCCCATGACTTCCATAGGAACACCTGCGCGTCCGTGTCGTAGCATCTTCAGCAATGCCAGCGAGGAGATGTGTACGGTTTCCGAGTTATCAATGAGATTTGGAGTATCCTAGAAACAAAGGCAGTCAGCTAGTCTGTATTGCTTCTTGGACATGAAATGACAGTTATCCAGATGATGTTTGTTTCTGGGCTGACGAAGACACCGAGAGAAGGCCAGTCTTGGGTAAACTCACGCCACCAGGACCTCCACTGCCCATGCCCATGCCCTGAGCGGCCTGGAGCATCCGATTAAGCCGATCCATTGTTGATAAGAAGCTGTGAGGATGAAAGGAAGAGCTGCGAGAAAGTAGAGGGACGCTTCCTAGTTGGAAGGAAGCTCCAGAGGGCCAGCGGTTTTCCGAGACTTATAAACTGGGTGGTAGTGAGACGCTCAAAGGGCGAATCAAGAACTGAGAATATAAAGGACGGAAATTCCGGAATGGGTGGACAGGAAGAAAGAATCGATGGTTTGGTTGAGGTGAGAGGGTAGGTAAGTAGGTGATGCTGTCCGAGCTTGCCAGTGGTTGTCACGCCGGGCAAGCCTGACGAAGGCGGTGAGGGCCGCAGCTCTGGGGTTTCGCTCCGCCTTTGAGACTCTCCTTCCATTTTCCCTCCACCCCATTGTCCAATTCATTATTCATTCCCATAATTGTTCGTGGAATGTGGTGCAATTCTCAACTACACCTTTGACTTGTCATCCGATCCATCCCTTCTCCTGCCCTAGACCCCTCCTAACGACATTTGGGATATTCCCTTACTCCTCCCTTATCGGTTTCTTTCGTTTGCCATCGGATTGGCGAAAACCGAGAAAACACCGCGACCTCAGAAACAGCACCTTGCCCTCTATTCCTCGGACAACGTGAGGACTGTCCTCATTTTACTATTCAGCCATGTCCAGGATGGCGTCCTTACCTCCTTTGGACCCGATCACTACAACTCCGGCGGATCGCAACAAGAAGGTCGCCTACTTCTATGATTCGGATGTGGGTAACTATGCCTACGTCTCGGGACATCCGATGAAGCCTCATCGCATTCGGATGACACACAGTTTGGTCATGAACTATGGCCTTTACAAGAAGATGGAAATTTATGTGAGTGTTCGAGTGAGCCAACTTTGGTTCCGCTTCTACTGACAAGGGAACTTTCCAGCGTGCGAAACCTGCTTCGAAATATGAGATGACACAATTCCACACCGACGAGTATATCGACTTCCTGTCAAAGGTAACGCCTGATAATATGGACTCTTTCGCGAAAGAACAAAGCAAGTACAACGTCGGTGATGACTGCCCTGTCTTCGATGGTCTCTTTGAGTTCTGCGGGATTAGCGCCGGTGGTAGCATGGAAGGTGCGGCACGCCTGAACCGCAATAAGTGCGACATCGCCGTCAACTGGGCCGGTGGTCTTCATCACGCGAAAAAGAGTGAGGCCAGTGGTTTCTGTTATGTGAACGGTAAGATTCAACGATCTTGGTTGGCTCATACCCTTTGTTCGTCCCGCTGACCAATACCGTTCAGACATTGTCCTTGGTATCTTGGAACTGCTACGATTCAAACAAAGAGTTCTCTACATCGATATCGATGTTCACCACGGAGATGGTGTCGAAGAGGCCTTCTATACTACGGACCGTGTGATGACCGTCTCATTCCACAAATACGGAGAGTACTTCCCTGGAACCGGTGAGCTTCGCGACATCGGTGTCGGTCATGGTAAATATTATGCCGTCAACTTCCCGCTCCGAGATGGAATCGACGATGTGTCTTATAAGAGTATTTTCGAGCCCGTTATCAAGAGCGTCATGGAATGGTACCGGCCAGAGGCTGTGGTGCTGCAATGTGGTGGTGACAGTCTGTCGGGTGACCGACTGGGTTGCTTCAATCTGAGCATGAGAGGTCATGCCAACTGCGTCAACTTCGTCAAGAGCTTTAACCTCCCGACATTGATCCTTGGTGGAGGTGGCTACACTATGAGAAACGTTGCTCGGACGTGGGCCTTCGAGACCGGTATCTTGGTCGGCGATAACCTAGGCGCTGAGCTCCCCTACAATGACTACTACGAGGTAAGTTTCCCATGGGCGGCCTAGATCCATTTTCACTAACAACATTAGTACTTCGCTCCCGACTATGAACTCGATGTTCGTCCGTCGAACATGGATAACGCCAACACCAAGGAATACCTGGATAAGATCCGAGCTCAAGTGGTGGAGAACCTCAAACGGACTGCTTTTGCACCGTCTGTACAAATGACTGATGTACCTCGCGACCCTCTGGTGGAGGGTATGGATGACGAGGCGGATGCCATCATGGACGATCTGGATGAGGACGAGAACAAGGACAAGCGCTACACGAAGCGGCGCTTTGACCAATATGTCGAGAAACCGGGCGAGCTTAGCGACAGCGAAGATGAGGAGGAAAACGCGGCCAATGGCGTCCGTAAGCCCGCTGGCCTGAAACGGAGGAACCAGGCCAACTTCCGGAACCTCGACACCGGTGACTCGGGACTCGACAGCGGTGTTGCCACCCCTGCAGAGGCTTCATCCGTCCCTGATGATGAGATGGATACGACGGCTGATGCCAAGACGACGGAGCCGGCACCCGAGCCTGAGACCGAGGCCGCTGCAACCCCATCGGCTGCAGAACCACCTTCCCGGGCTAAAGACGCGTCGAATGCCGAGCAAACTGAAATGGCCGTGGATGGTAAGGAGCCTGTCGCTCCTTCTGCTCCTGTTTCCCGCCCGGAGTCTCCGAAGGCGCAGGATGAGGACACCACTATGGAGGATGCTGGTGAAGCAGAGGCTGCTCCGGAACCGGAAAAGACAGAGCAGTCCGAAGCTCCGGCTCCCGCAGTTAATGATTCGCTGCGGGAAGAGAATAAGCCTGTCGAGGAAATCGCGATGTCAGAGAAGACTGTTCAGGAGCCCACTGAGGAACGCGCTCCGGAAAAGGCACAGTCGCCTCCTAAGGAACCCACATCACAAGACGGAGCACAAGAAGCTGCAGAAGCCGAGAAAGTAGAGGAGCTGACGGAAAAGATGGTAGAACCTCAGGAGAAGACACCCGAAGCGCCCAAGGAGGAGCCGGCTGCAGAGAAGACCGAACCGCAGGCGCCTGCAGACAAGAAGGAACCCAGCCCCGAGAAGAAAGCAGAGGAGCCTGCAAAAAGCGAAGAATAGTCTCAGCACTAGCAGAGGCGTTTTCAGGATCCTGGCGCAAAGGGCAATATGGTGTTCTGGTTGTTTGCATCCGCGAAAGGTGGGTATACTTCTACGCTTCTAGTCTTCCACGATTTGTTCTTGGTTGCGCTTGTTGTTTTGATTTCTGGGCAGCTCGATTTTTGTCTGATGCGTTTTCCGATGCATGATGATTTTCCTTTGAGTATTCGTAGCTATTTGATGACATTTACTAAATAAACTATGTTTTAGAAATGCATACTGGATATACCTCTTCGGTATTGGGAAGTATTGAAGTCATGTACTCTGTAGCAGCATCACCACAAGGCAGTCGATATCAATCATCACGTGATAATACACGATAAGGGCCAAGGCGCTACCCGGATAGGGGATAGTGTTAGGGCACGACGGGGTCCACCAATGGCGACGGCAACGCCAAGATTTTGCCCACGACCGCACACTAAGCGAGCGACACTTTGAGAAGCACACCACTCGTCCGGATCCCTCTCGTCCTTCCGTCGCCCCCTTCGCCAATTTCCAGTATCCGACACCGTTTACGAGAACACCAGCCAAGATGTCTAAGAGAGGGTGAGTATCTTCGTCTCTGACTCTCCAGCCGCAGAAAGAATTGAGCCTCCCGTTCCTTTTGCTGTCGTCCGCGCCATGTTCGTCCGTCCGTTGCGAAGTCTGCGGGGAAGATAAATATCAAACACGAAGAGTGCAAAAACCGATCTAAATATGCTTTGGTTGAGGAGGTTGTCGACAAGAGTTGTGCTGGCTTGTCTGGGTTTCGAGCCGACGGGAAAATTTTTACGTTGAGATTGGAAGGGAAGATACCGAATCCATGATGCGGAACGGACGCCACGGACGACGGACACGCACAAGACGACAGAAGGAAACGATGGGCCCATTCGGCACTCGCGGGATTACCAGAATTGAAGGCTAACGTCTTTCAAACAGTCGTGGTGGTAACGCCGGCAACAAGCTGAAGATGTCGCTCGGTCTGCCTGTGTACGTTTGAAATCATCCTTCCTCCCATGCTCACGCCTTCGCCCCGATCGATCTCGAATTCCCGCTGTCGAAACCGATAGACCATTCAACGATTCCACATGTGATTTGAAGAACGACACTAACTTGGTTTTCTCTTCTAGCGGCGCCGTCCTCAACTGCTGCGACAACTCCGGTGCCCGTAACCTCTACATCATTGCTGTCACTGGTACTGGCGCCCGCCTCAACCGTCTCCCCGCCGCGGGTGTCGGTGACATGGTCATGGCCACCGTCAAGAAGGGTAAGCCCGAGCTCCGGAAGAAGGTCATGCCCGCCGTCGTCGTCCGTCAGAGCAAGCCCTGGAGACGTCCCGATGGTATCTACCTCTACTTCGAGGACAACGCTGGTGTGGTGAGTAACCCTGTGAAATCAATGATGGAAGTGTGGACGGGGACTAATGTTGGGCCTAGATCGTCAACGCCAAGGGTGAGATGAAGGGATCCGCCATCACCGGTCCCGTCGGTAAGGAGGCTGCTGAGCTCTGGCCTGTAAGTTTTTCTTTCCATCGCACAGAACTATGTCTCTTCGCTCAGTCGCTGACATCACGCAGCGTATTGCCTCCAACTCCGGTGTTGTCATGTAAGCAAAGGGAAACATCGTCGAATTGGGAATTAAAAAAGGAAATAAGATCGATACCAGGTGGGGACATCATTTTGGATGCGGATAATGCAACTACGAAAGCGGGAAACGAAAGGAACGACCGGGTGTTCAATGTTCAAGCCGCGAGTTTCAGCATTTCAAATTTCCTAAATGACGTGCTTCTTTTTGTCTCTTATATGGCGACTCGGAATATAAAAATTCACAAAACGGCTCTCTTCTGTTGGCATGGCACATGGCATGCACAACAATCACGTAGGCTCGAGCTATGGGCTCACAAGGCGTGCAACTCCTTTCGTATTAATCTACTAGTGGTACATTATAAGTGCTATATCACAGGTTATATATACAGCCAAGTCCCCATCTTATTTACCCGCCTTTGCTTCCTTGCCTTGAGCTCCAGGGCTTGGTTGACGCTTGACCGGCGTCGATCCAGATCCAACGACACTATATACCACGACCAGCAGGACTGTCACCAAGTCGATAACATGCACCGCCCACCAGATATGCTGCACTCCAGCAGAGCACATGGTAATCTCGTATCTCCATTCGTTCACCGCCGGGTCTGCGTCAAACCACAGAGAAAGCAGTCCGGCATACCCGCCGTATTCGCCCATCATAGAGCGAAGCGTGACCTCGCGAATAGAGGGCGTCCGCGATTCGGGAGCTGGCTCGTCGGACCGTCTCGCATTCCACCTCCACGACTTGGCCTCATTCTCCCGCTCATTGCCCTCCTCATCTTCATCAGACGTCTCCGTAACCTCGGCCGGGGTCCTGTCGACGTAGTGAACAACATCACAGCCAGTGTGATCATGGCCCGTGAGGATAAGCCCGTTGCGTCCCCATCCGCCGCCCGGACCATCCTCCTCGCCGCTCATGCCAAATATCCCCTGCAAGACGCCCGTAGCACTGATCCCCTCGCTGAGATGGTTCTGCTCGCGGAGCCCACCAGCCTTGAAGCGCGGCACATCGTCCGGACCGTCCTCGTCGTCGGCGTCGAAGAACGAAAAGTACGGCCCGTCGGTGCACACGCCGTCCGGCTTGTGCAGCGGCAGATGCGTCAGCAGTAGCGTAAACGTCGTCCGGTCCTCGACGGGGTACGACCGCTTCATAATGAGGTCGTTGACGTAGGCGTAGCTATCCGCCTGTACCTGCGCGGAGAGCGCCGGCGAGTCGAGCGTCAGCGTGTTCAGGTTGATTAGGTGCAGGGTCGGCGTGACGGAGCTGTTGTCGGGCAGCTGCAGCGGCGGGTGCTGGAAGCGGACGTCCCAGTTCGCGCGGCCGAACATGCGCTCGAACCGCTCCATGCGCGCCTCGTTCGCGTCCCCGGCGTACCCAATGTCATGGTTCCCCACGACGTTGATGATGCGCCGAGCCCACGCGTTGTCGGGCGACGCGTCCAGCGTCTCCAGCGCCTCCTCGCCCTTCTCTGCCTCTACCTCTCCCCTTGCGCCGGACACGGTGATATTGTCATGCACCCGCTCGCCACCCTTAAACACCCGATCCCAGTATCGCCGACCGCGCCGGTCAAACTCCCCGTCCGTCACCCACTGGCTCCCGATCAGGTCGCCCAGCACGGTGACATGCGTAGGCCGGCTCCACCAGTAGAGCGTGCGATAGATGTGCGCCAGGTAGTAATCGTTGCCGAGGAGGTCGACGCGTTTGCGGGCGGCACGCAGGGCGCGAGGGATGTCGTGCGTCGCGAGTGTGTGCAGCGCAGTTGAGAGAGCGGTGTAGACGTGGCGATGCACGGGGGACTGCGTCTCGTTGAGTGCCGATTTCACCGTGCTCCAGTGATGTTGAACGCGCGCCGTGAGTTCGTTTTCAGGTTTCGGCAGCGAACTGTCCCCTTCCAGTTGGGGGTCGGCCAACACCAGCAGCCGGAAGATGGCCGGGTCGCCTGCATACTGCGGGACGAGGTGCTGGCGCAGCGTGTCTATGAACGAACGGGATATTGGGCCGCCATTGCTGTCGCCTGGGAGAGGGAACGCGCAGCGATGGAACACGGGGTAGAGGTAGAGGTAGAGACTGGATGTTATTGCCAGCGGGAGGAGGACGGAGAGAAGGCGGAGGAGGATCCAGCGAAGGAACATGGAGACATGAGAGAAAGAAAAATCATAGAATCAGAAGGCGAGAAAGAAAGGAGAGGAGGCCTAGCTGCTGGAGGTCAAGCGCATCTTTCGGAGGTTGAGAGGAGTCGGAGGTGTCGTTGATCGGCGGCGTTGGCAATTGGTAGCGGTTCCGGGAGATCGCCCCTCCACTAAGGTAGGTACCTACCTACGGAGTATACGTACGACATGTCCTATGGAGTACTACCGATGAAGGATTACGAGCCGTCCATCCTGACTGTTATGGTGAACGGATGTAGCTTGTAAAGAATATTAGATAAATAAATAAAGTGATTAAGCAAAAGTGCCCCTGGGCTATACACAGCCGCGTCCTTGCACCATGAAGCAGCCAGTCTTCAATTGTCCATCGTCCTATAGAATCCCTCTCATTCCTGTCATCGTCCAGTAGAACATTGGGTCGACTAAGTGCAGCTCAAGAAGAAAAGAAAAGAAAAGAAAACGCAAAGTAGTGGACAGAAGGCTCCGGGGGGTATATCACATAAACGCCAAACGGGGTAGTAGGGGTGGATAGAACTGAAGGCAAAGGAAAACGCAGAAAAGAAAAGCGCAATAGTTTAGGAGACCAAATACCACTCAATCTGTGTTTGCGGCGGATTCGGGCATCAAAGAAGATGGTCCTGTGTCAATGTTACCAAGATGGTTCGAGACGTCAGATGTTCTTTTTGTTTCCTCATGACCATCATCATCCTCCTTCTTAGCCACCTCATCGAGGCTGAGACCCTTGATATTGAGGCCATTAGCCTCTTCGGTAGCTATCGATGGCTCGTTCTTCTCTCCTTCCACCGGAGCCTTAGGAGCCCCCATCAGAGCAGGTGGCCGTTGGTTCATCATCTGAGCTTCTTTGAGACTGATGGTTCTCTGTTTGTTGGTGGTCTCGACTGGAAGCTCCATGTCACGTTCAATGGTCGCTTTCATCAGTGCAGCCATCCACAACCGGCCTTCCTGGACATTGTCTACTTGGAAGTAATGGATGGCGGGCTTGGTGAACTGCACTGTACGAGAAGTACCGGATTTGGGCGGCACGAGCTTGAAGAAGAACGAGCCCTCGTGAGCCTTGGGGCCCCGGAGCGAAGTCTCTGAACCAGACGCCTTGTCGGAAGTTGGGGTGTCGACACTAGAAACAGACGGCGAAGTAGGGGAAACGGTTGCACCGGTGATGGTCGCATGAAGCGCCACGATCGGGTCGTTATCCGCTCGAAGCACCCGATGGGCAGTGATGTCGATGAGTCCTCGCTCTTCCGTGTCATTCTCGGAATAGTAATATGACAAACGACGACCCCGAAGGACAAAGAGACGCGGTTTCCACGTGGTCATCAGATTTGATGACTTTTTCTTCATCCATCCAGAGTAATCACAGCCCTGCATCTGTTCCTGGGGCGTCTTCTTCTCCAAGCCTCGTGTGTAGGCACTGGTATCTTTCTTGGATTTGGCACCCGACTTGACAGTACGGGCGCGGGGCATCAAAATTCCACCTTCCGCGGCCTTTCCAGAGCCATCAGTGCTATGACGCTCGGAGCTCTTGGAGGTAGAAGGGGTTGTCGACCCGGTTCTGGCAGAAGCTGGATCGAAGTCTCGGACAGGGGACGCGGGTGGGATAGCAGTGTCGATGCCTTTTCCACCTTCTGACACACCGCGAAGGCCAACAGCACGTCGAAACTTGGGGCCTGCATTCTTGATCTGCTGCAACGAAGTCGAACCTTTAGAGTCAGAGTCATGTCTTCCAACCAGGGGCGCCAAAGAAGAAAAGAACCCGGATCCGGTGGACTTGCCCTCCGCGGTAGTGGAGGCACGGGTGCTGAGGCTCCTAAAACGACTCTTGGGTAAAGGACTGGTATGTGACTTCATGGTGGTCGGCGTGGGGTTGGCTGTCTCCCGGATTGAGTCAACACTACCGATGCGTGAGTGACGTTTGGCGACCTTGAGCTTATATTGGTCGTCCATGAAACTCGAGGTAGTGCTACCAGCGGTGGAGCTTCGTTTCTGCAAGAAGCGTCTATTCTTTCTGGGGTCTCCCTCCGGTCCTGAGAAGTACCCGCGATCGAGATCGTCTGCGACGGCGGATTCAGACACGTTGGAATCTGTACGATGGAACGCCTCCTGCGAGACGCTAGACTCATTGGCGGTCCCAAGAGCCGTACCAGGACGAATGGGATATCGGGAGGGCGCACCGCTCATGGACCAAGCACGATCGAATGACCCCTTCTTCTGGTGGCCGGGTTGCTGGGATATCTCGGTGGTCCCAGAATACCGACTCGTTGTATCGATCGAAGAATGACGACGTGAGTGATTGATATCGCGCACCGACGCAGCTGAGGGCCTTCGGGAATGGTCCATCCATGTTGGGGTTTGCGAAGTCAAAGGAGAGCTCGTATTACTCTGCATGGCATTGCTGATTAGGCGTGGATGCTGGGTAGAACCAGTCGAACCTCGCAGAGTGGGGATTCGGGGCAGCAACGGGCCAGTGGTACCAGCACGACTGAGACTCCGTTCTTCTCCCGGGCCGCCGAGGCCGGAGGCTGAGCTTCGTGATGACTTTCTCTGGGGCTGCTGGAAGCCCTTGACTTCTTCTTGGAAGGCCTTGATCTTGTGCCACGTCTTCAAGCGCCGGCCCATGACACCAAAATCAAATTCCTTCATGAAAATGAAGTCCTGGTTCATATCCAGTAACACATCGCCTGTGATTTCCTGTTCTTCAAACAGATCGCAATGACGCGCTTCGATTCCCAGTCGCCGCAAATACTTGGAGGTTTCAGCCTGATTCCAACTGCGAACTTCCGCTTCGGTAGGAACGCCCTCCTCTTCTTCGTCTGTCTCCTGGCCATTGATATAGGACAAGCGGTGATCAAAATGGCTGCTGTATTCGCTGGCGGAATCGCTCGTCACCTTCGGTTCCTGAGTAGCAGTTACACTGTGCCGAGGCGTACTTAGGTCCGTGATATGCTCATCGATCACACTGAGCGTCTCATTCATGACTGGGCTCTCCTGGCCACCGTTTAGATGACCGTCAAGCGTCTGGCGGATAGATTGTTGGATATCGACGGCCATTTTTGAGGTGGGAAGCGGAGAAGAGGTAGACCTTTGCTGTTGTTTGGGTGATGACGTCGAATCCGGGTCATCATTTAGGTCGGGAGATCGCATATCTGACGCACTCGCATGTCGCGAAGCCTGAGGCGTTGAATCTCCGCTCTTCGGTGAGGCGATTGAGTCGGTCGCGCCGGAAGTTCCTTTGGATTTCTCCACCACATTAGGATCGGGGGCATGTCCCTGCTGTCGGACGGGTACTTTGGGTGCGGACGTCGTATACACTGGACGTAATATTCCTGTCAGCGATCGGTCGCGTCCCTATTTTCAGATTGTCAAGATATACCTCCGGGAAATAGGCCGGTCATTCCCGATTCCACGTCCCTTCCTAGAAACCATCCGTCACCAAAGCCATCGTCCAGCTCCACGAGCTCGATTTTCCCACCACGTCTCAAGGAGAGTTCATCGGGACCACGTGCAAGGAAATCATCTATGGCTGTCAGCTCATAAAACAAACTTCCTCGGTGCAAGTTGCGACCGAGTTTATAGGGGTGGGGGACGTACGAACAACAAGGAGGACGTCCCCCGGTTTAACGCCGCGGGGCGGCAATGCTGAGTTCAGAGCCATTTGAGACAGCAAAGGATCGATATTATAGAGATCGGATGATGTGAATCGCAAGACAGCATAGGAGTGGCAGCGGAGAAATTGCGCAGGACATGGGGTCTCAAGCAGCCCTCGCGGGTAAAGTTGCGAAGACCACGAGGGGAACGGAGACCGCTCGACTTGCGATGAAGGGCCGAGCAGATCTAGTATGGACGGAATCCGCAGGTGCACGTTCCCCGAAGAAGTTTAAAAAAAGAAACGAAGACCAAGAATGATGGGGAAAGATGAACCCGAAGAAGGTTTGGCGGGGAATGTAGGTCAACAAAGGGGGTGGTGGCGGGAAGAATGCGTGTCGTAGAGAAGAGAGATGGATGGCGGGGGTTTTGCGAAAAGACCGAAAAGGAACGGACGAACAGTTCGTCTAGTGGCGTCAGTCCGTTCAATACTTGGAGTACTCTGTAGTGTCCAGAGACCGAATATATACCAGGGACGGTTCGACCCTCACTCAAGTCGTCAATGCCCGTTCGCAAGGGAGTCTCAACCAAACAAGCAACCGACGATCCCCAATGCAGGTAGAGTCGATGAGCTGTATGCTGGTGGTCCGCGACTACTGCTGGATGTGCGTCGGGAGATGACGATGGACCTCCGAGGAGGGAGAGGACTGGATTGGTGGACAGGAAAGAATTGCAAAGGGGCCACAACGTCGGACAGCGTCCGGTTCAATCGGGCGCGATTGTCGTGATGAGGGAACTCTGACTAGGTAGGAGTGATGTGTTGTTGATGTTGAAGTGGACGAAGCCAGCAGTGGAGGAGTTCTTGAATTTAGATGGTCAGCGTCACCACCCAGAGCTTAAGTAAGACCGGTCAATCCATCACTCGATTCATCTACTTGTAATCTATCACCCTCGGTAGAGTTGAATGCGGATGGTTTATAGTTCGATACTGTATTAATCTATTACTAGATGAGATGGACAGGTAGATCTTTTTTCTTTTTCTTTTCTTTTCTGTTCTTTTCTAATGAAGACTTTTCTCCTGTTCAGCGGACTGGAGCCAACAAAGAGATTCTTATTACTGTCCCATCTATTAACCATGGAAAACTGCCCACATCATCCCTGAGTCAATATCCCTTCATGGTGTCCAAATGAACTCGTCTCGTGTAATGTTGATTTCCCGACGGTGTACAATTCTTGTCAATAATAATAATGCACCAACTAACTAGGTGAAGCTCCGTTTCCTTCTCCGTCGGTGGAATGGATCGATCGACATTCCTTCTTTGGATGCGGCTTGACAGGTCGTTTTCGGCCGATCCAGACTAACTAACTACAGTACGGAGTAGGACTTTTCTACCGGCTCATGCTGGGTTGTGTTAGTGATTACTTCGTACTTTGTAACTAACTACCTAGTACCTTGTCATTCAATCATTCATCCTCACGTGTGGATTCACTCGGATGGTCCTTTTGGAAGCTCCTCAAAAGTTCCTCTTATGTAAACTGGCGAACGTGGTGAATTCTAGAAACCCCGTTATCACGCACCTTGAAAGGACAGAACTTCTCCCTCATCAATAACCGGGGCTACTATTTTACCTCCATTCAATGCAAGGTAATCGAATAGATCTCTCTAAAAGCAAAGACGAGACCGATTTCCCCTGAATCACCCCCCTGATGGTCATGGTCACGATGACAGTTCTGGTTCCGATGGAAACATTTTCATATTGCTGAACCAACCATTTCTTGCGCGACGCCAGCCGCCAAACAACTTCATCTCCCGTTCTTTCTCTCTTCCTCGTCCCTCTTTCATGCCAGCTCCCCTCCCTCCGCATAGACAATATCAGAAAAATTATTGAAAACCAAGCGGGAAAAAAGACAAAAGAATAATGCATCGCCACTATGACCCCTCCTCTTCCACAATCTCCTCCCTCGGTCTCTCATAATCTCGTGCAGTCGTCGAATTCCACCGCCAGCATTTTTCTCGGTGGCGTGCGGAGGTCATGGATGGCACCGACCTCCACGACTCAACTTCCGCTACAACCCTCCCCTCCAGCCTCCTTCTCCTCTGCTCCGGTGTCTGTTCCGGCGCCTGCACCTGATCGTGGGTCGCATCCCCTGCCTCAGCATAATCCCACGCCAAGTCGGCCGCCTGAACATACACGCCGGAATGCAGGCCAACTCGACGACCAAACTTCCCCGACGACCACCACGAGTCCTTCTCGGCAATTATTATCGTCACTCAATACATCCGTGGGCGTGTCCTGGAGTGATCCTCCCCGAGCAGTTCCAGCGTCGACTCCTCTCCAACATCAGACAGCACAATCCGTCCCTACAGCGCCCTCCACTATTGCATACCCCGTGTCTCAGTCCATGACCATACCTCATGCGCCCGCGATTAGCACAGTCGTCCGGAGTGGCCCCAGTCCGTCTGGTGCTCCTGTCCCATCGCCAGGAACCACCCCAACCGCATCACGGCCCCTCCACGCGCCTCCGGTTAGCGGTGCCGACACTACAGTGGTTTCGTCCCCAGCCCCGAGAGGAACGGGCGTCCCTACGACGACCGGCTCCTTGCCCAATACTCCGCAGCCTCGCCCCGTGATAGTCAATGGCGGTCACCAAAATCCCCAGGCATCATACCCAACGCCGCCCGCGCAGGTATCAGCCCCGACAAGGTCTCAATCCCAAGAAGGCCTGTCCTCTCAGGGCGTACTCAGTATCGATGCCGCCTTCTTCGAGCATTCTTTGAAGCGGCTTGAAGCCCTGGGCGACAGATTAGACCCGCAGGTAGAGCAGCCACGGACCAGATTATTGTCCCGGGCATGCTCCGAGCAAGATTGTCTCTTTCTCGCCATTCACCAGGTCTATTGCCTATACAGCTACACGCCAGCAGAGCTCGGCCGAATTCCGGGCTTTTCTATGCTACAGGCCCAGGGGTTGGGTGTGATTCAGCAGCTTCTGGTGGACAATAGTCGCGTGACTCTACACTTCCTTCATTGGTGCGCGAATTTTCCGGGGACTTTCAATATCCTGGTGCAAAACCCTGTATATCGAAGCGCGGCCGAGCGCGCGTTCTATTGTCTGGGCTTGCTCGCAGAACGCTGGGATCCCTTCCAACATAGTTGCCTGACACGCGGCTATCCCCCTTCTGTTGAGGAGATCGAGGTTCATTTGGGTATTACCTCTCAGGGCTTAGCTTTCACCATTTTTCTGTCAATCTGCCGCCGTCTCCCCGCAAAGAGAGAAGAGCATGAGTTGGGCCGCATCTGGGATCAAGATTTTCACAACTACCAGCGTCGTCTCTCTATGCCCATGGCCCAGCGATCGGCGCAATTTCAACGGGACAATACGCAGTTCATTCGAGAATACACGGCGTTACCCTTGGCACCACAAGCTGAACATTCTCCCCACCCGGATATTACTACTCCTGTCGGTCCCAGCAGAAATCCGACAATGCATCCAAGCACCAATTCACCCATTAGCCCGAGTCTTCTGACTCCTAGTCCTCAAGTTCCCAGTCGCATAGCCGCCCAAGGGTCATCTGTTCCCATCCTTAACCACCCCCAGCCGACCACAGCTCAGGTGCCCACGAATGTGCGGCCTCAGAGAATGGTAAGGGCACCGCGCGTTCCAAATCCGAGTGTTCCAACCCATTCCCAAGGCTCTGTTGCTGTACGCGGCCAGCAAAGCATCCCACCTTCGACGGCTTCTCCATACGCATCTCCGTACTCCGCAATGGCGCTGCTCCCATCTCAGCTTACCCAGACATTACCCCACGGGGCCACGCCGTCTCCAGTGCAGCCCTCTACACCAGTTCTGGCTCGAAATCAAGCAGGACAACAGCCTCAGTCTCGGCTAACAAGCCCGGTCTTCACTATACCAGGGCAAACTCACCAACATGTGCGAGTCTTGCTCCTTCCTCAAGGACCCGTCCCACCGAGTAATGCCCGACCTAACCCGACTCGCACTGCGCTTCACCAGGCTCATCTCCGTGGTCCATGCAACCGGCTAATTTCCAAGGCGGAAGGCAATGAGGTCGAGCTCTTTCAATACCTGAGTTCATTTGTGGTGGCTCCAGCTCCATTGGGCCAAAGACAATGTGCTTATAAATGGAGCTTCCCGTTGTCTACAGCTGCGGTCAACCGTTTTCCGACCCGTGAAACCCGCGGAGTGGGACATCGCCCGTTACGGACTCTTTTCGACGGCTGTCAAGTATACCGCTTGCGGTGTATCAAGGTGGACCCGTCTGCTACGGAGGTAAACGAGGGGAAATGGAGTGTGGCGGAAACCACCTGGCCCACAGTGTGTTATCTGTTCGTCAACAATGTGGAGGTCTTTGCTCGCCGAAAGGTACACCATGGCAGAGATCTCCCCTTAGATATTACTGAGCATCTCCGAGAAGGTGAAAATACGATCTCCATGCATTTTATTCGTGCTCCGGCCGAATTCCACGCCATGACGTATGCGCTGGCGGTTGAGGTGCTCGATATCTCGGGCTTGGACCGGGCCAAATCTCTCGTACAAACTCTACCAGCTTGGGACTCTCGAGAGAAGATCCGCAAGCGACTTGCCGCTAATACCATCAACGATGACGATTTGAGTGTTGTCAGCCAAGACTTGATCGTTGACCTCGTCGACCCCTTTACTGCTCGGATATTCGACGTTCCGGTGCGCGGACAATTCTGTGGTCACCAAGAATGTTTCGACCATGAGACCTGGATCTTGACAAGGGCCTCCAAGTCCGGTAAACGCGCCCTCAAAGAAGATTGGAGATGTCCCATCTGCGGCCAAGATGCGCGTCCTCAGAGTTTGGTCATTGATGGTTTCCTGGCGGAGGTCCATGCCGAGCTCACACGTACAAATCGATTGGAGGGAGCACGGGCAATCCAGATTAAGCCGGACCTGTCGTGGCAGCTCAAGTCCGAGAGTGATGCGCAGTCGTCCTCCGGCCGAACTGCTGGTAACGGCCAGGGAAATAACACCGATAAGCGGAAGCATCCCCGTGACGGAATGACTGTCGCCCGAGCCCCTCAGAGGCCCAAGATTGAACATCAATCTCCGGCCGGAATTACCGTACCTCCTCGTCAATCATCCGAAGTCATTGAGCTCGATTGATTGGAGACTTGTTTCCTTCCTTGCTCTGTCTTTTGTTTGCCCTCGCCTGAGATTGTTGCATAGTCCCGGCGCTTCCACGGCTTTGCTGCTTCCAAATCCCTTACAACCTTTTTTTTTTTATTGTGATTTCGCATCAGGGTAGGCGCTCTGGCTCCTTTTTTCTGCACGAGATACCCCGATCCACCTATCTATCTTTATGTTCTGATCCTGACGTTTTCCCTTGATACCCCCGCTCGCCCTCGTTTGATTAATCAGAATTTATGGTCTCAATGCATTGTCTGGGGTCGTTCTTCACATCATTGCTCGATCGCGGTTCTGGATACCCCTCTATGTATGCGCATAGATGAAGTAATCAACCTTATTAGAGAAAGAAAAGTAACCTCTAAATGTAGAGACTTTAAGCGAGAATATACTTGTGGTACATTCTATACTAGTACCATATGTGCGGTTCGTGGGTGGTTTGTGTGCCACCGACCCCAGCAGACAGCCGCCCAGCAGAAATATACCTCTGCCTAGCTGTTCGACCGCCAACCAGCAACAGATTTCTACAAATAAAATTAAGAGAGAAAACAAACTGGTAATATGGTAGGGCAAGGTATGTTACAATCTTTATAGCTAGCTAGCCACTATGCGAAAATAAAAGGAGTTCGTTCATATGCCACCCATCTATGAAACAAAAGATGAACCCAAAGAAAACACAAAAAGAAGGTCCAGACCTTCAGATGACAACAAACAACAAACCAAATTAATATTAATCAAAAGGGATCACAGAAACCCAGATTGGGGTATATAGATAGAGCAGGGAAAAGACAGAATGCAAAAGACCAGAAGAAACTCATTATGATACATTACTTCCGTACACGTCGGGCATGACTGACCAGATTTTCAATCACACCCTCAAATGCTTCCTTTTCGCTGACGAGTCCATCACGTCGTTTGAGCCAGTATTCCAGCACTGAACTAGCGCGGAGGGTAACCTGCTCAAGCTCTTTGACATGGCCCTGCAATTCCGGATCAGTGAGCCCATCTAGAGCTGCGTCTGTGGTGGCACAGAGCCGACGGACAGAGGAAAGGTCAAGATCAGGCGGGGGAGACGGTTCACGCCGCCGGGAGGATCGTTGGCGGGACGCGGCTCCCGATGTTCGTGGGCTGTTCGGGCCACTCTGTGCCCCATCTTTCCTGACCTGGCTGTGGGAACGCGAATGAGTCGTTGACCCGCCATATTCATTCATCGACGGAAGTATGAGTTTCTTCTGCTTTGAAGCCGGAAGGATTTCATCCAGATCGACAGGCACGCCCAACGATACCAGGAAAAGCCGGCGGATTCGCGACTTGACCCAATTCTGGGGTTGTAAGGGTGGAGGTGCGACAAGCTGAGACCATAAAGAGAGAGAGCGCTCGGTGTTGAAGATGGCAGAGGAATTTTGGATGGGTTCTACCGGTGGTAACGATGAGATTTCTTTGGTAGTGGGATACAGACAGTCGAGGGGCTCTTCAAGAGCAGCCAAGAGGTCAGGAAGGGCCTGGAGAGAATCCAAGTCCATGATAGATGGCTAGGACAGAACCACCAAATCAGCAAACGGCCCGAATGAAGTAGGAAAATCGGATCAAAAGCAAGGCGATCGCAAGATGGCTCGTTCGTTCCCAGGTTTACTTACAACTTGAGGTGGTGTGGGAGGCTGAGTGCCTATCTGACTGTGCTCATCCTCGGGGACATCGACACTGGGCTCCTGAAAACCATCGTCGAAATCTCCAAAGTCGTCATCGCCCATCTCCTCGCCTTCTGCGAAATCGTCAAAGTCGTCGGGTGCAACCTGATCCTCAGTCATTTCGCCAACCACAGTAGACTCTGGTCGAGCATGACTGGGGGCGGTTGGGTCTGAGGTTATTAGCTGTGATGTTCATATGATTATCACTGGAAAGGATTAGATGACCCACATACCTGGTGCGTCTGGAACAGTTTCTGTGACGTCTGGTGCGGCATCTCCAGGCTGGCTTTTGTGAGCCCGGTGAGCCAATTCTGTGTCGTCACTCGGCAAAGAGTCCACTCTCGAGAGGACTGTCTCAGGGACCGTCGTATCAGGAGTGGTGATCTCGTTTGACTCCGTGCTCTGTTGCTCTGCTTGGAGGCTCAATGACCCTTGTGTACTCTCACCCGAAGCCGGGACCACGATATCCGGGACTGCATCTGCCTTGCGCTTTTCATATGCGGGAGTTCCTGGAATATCCCCATGGCTTGGTTGATCCATGTCGACTTTTTCGACGACCGTTTGAGGAATAGGTGAACCCGGGGTTAACACGCAGTGTTGCCCCGCGGCCGAGGCGCTCCTACTGCGTGACCCTTCTGGTATGACTTCAATCTCGTCCGGAACTGCATCTTGCCCTCGCTTTTCGTATGCCGATGTCCCTGGGACATCGCCATAAGAGGGATCGTTGTCCACCTTCTCTACTCGAGTAAGCGGAACCGGAGAGGTGCGACCGGACGGAGAACGAGATCGAGAACGCTCGTGGCCTTCGCTGGCATCGGAAAAATGCTCTTCTTCACTGTTGGACGCTATACGGGTGAAGAGTCGTCAGTATCCGAGTAGTTCGGGGTGTAGGGGGTAGGGCAGACCTATGTCGTCAGCCGTACCTGAATCCTGAGCCCCAGGGTCTTCTAACTCCACGCTTTTCCTTGGGGGTTCCAAGTGAGAAGTAGAGGGAGAGCGGGAAAGCCGTTCCGACATGGGCAGTAGAGATCTAGGTTCCAAATCCAACCATGTAGGCAAAGGGTGTAGCGATAATAAGGGAGGGAGAAAAAGGGGAGAGGCAATGTGAGCTGAAATGGTGATGTTGTTTCGTTCTGACGATTGCGGCGGGTTCGATGAGAGTCTCGAACGCTGGCCTGAGGCAGCAGTACTTGGTGCCTGAGGTACCAAGTTTAGCCGCCAGCCGAGCCAAGCGCGGCGGGTTGAGCTCCAAGAATTCCTCAGCTTCGTCGCGCTCGGCCAAAAAACATCCCAAGTTCCCTGCACAGTCCTGTCAATTGCGGTTCAGCTTCTGAGAGTCCGATCTCTCTGGGCGCAGTGAGTGGTTTCTCCTTGCTTCTGTCGACTTTTATTGCCCGTACCTGTCTCCTCGGCTTCTTTCGCTAACTGTTTTCCTTTTTCTCCCAATCCACCAGGGCAGCCCGATCCTTTCATTCAGCCTTCAGTCATACCCATCTACCATGTCCAACAAACTCTTCTCATTTGATCCCCCGGCCTCGTCCGGCACGTCCGGAGGAAGTCTCTTCGGGACTGCCAACAAGCCGAATGCGGGAACGGGCTCCTCCGGTGGCCTCTTTGGAAATGTCGGAGCTCCTGCTAGTGGAGGCACCACGTCCTCTTTGTTTGGCACAGCTTCGTCCACAGCACAACAAAGCCCTTCCCTTTTCGGTAGCGCCGCTGGTACTGGTACCACCGCCAACAGCGGTTCGTCCCCCTTCACTCTTGGGGGTCAGAACCAGTCTTCGTCGACGGGCCAAACATCATCCCTCTTCGGTAGTGCGTCGCAAACCCCAAAGCCGAACGAGAACGCCGGTTCTGGGCAGAGCACTGGAGGTGGACTTTTTGGGAATGCTGCTAAACCTGCAGGTGGTCTGTTTGGAAGCACCACGGCTACCCCAGGACAGTCGGGAGGGGGCGGACTCTTTGGCAGCAACACGTCTACTACTCCAGCTGGCCCGCCGCCTCAGGGAAGTGCCGCAGGCCAGGGTCAATCTCTGTTTGGGCAGGCAGCCCCGAAGACAGGTGGTCTCTTTGGAAATATGAACACGGCTACCACCTCGTCCGCGACACCCGCTTCCACCGCGCCAGCAGCTTCGTCTCCGTTTGGGGGTGCTTCCCAGACTCCATCGACCGGTGGTGGGCTTTTCGGATCGGGAACAAGCACGCAACAGAGCACTCTGTTCGGATCGACCCCAGCGGCATCCACCGGTGGTGGCTTGTTTGGAAGTGGTAACAAGGATAAGCCTGCGGAGTCGACGACGCCTGCGACGACTGCAGAGAGCTCTTCCAAGCCACTTTTCGGAGCCGCTCCCTCGAATGCAGGTGGCCAGGGGACCCAGACCTCGTCCTTGTTCAAGATGCCATCTGCTGGCACCGACTCAGCTGCCAAGTCCCCTTTCTCCCTTGGTGGCGCGAACACGACCACTAGCACTTCTCAGACTACCACAACACCCGCCACCTCGTCTGCGACACCGCAAAAGCCGACGTTCAATCTAGGCGCTACTACCTCCTCCGCAACTCCTTCCTCGACCCCCGCAGCTGCGCCCGCTAGTGGTGGCTTGTTCAACCTGGGTGCCCCGAAGACGACAGCAGCTGGTGCTTCCGGAACGACCGCGGCACCCTCTACCCAACCTGCCGCTGCTGGTGGGTTATTCTCAAAGCCCGCCGAGAGTACCGCATCGACGCAGCCGGCGGCCACATCCACGACGGGCGCTTCCACCACTGCTGGAGCTAAGCCGTCTCTCACTGCTACCTCGGGAGCAACCACTTCCGGTACTGCTGCACCGACTAGTGGCACTACCCCAGCCACCGGGGGCCCTGCCCTTGGCGCGTCGACGGCAGGCCCGACGCCTCCTGCGCAGTCTCGCCTGAAGAACAAAACCATGGACGAGATCATCACGCGCTGGGCGACCGATCTTACCAAGTATCAAAAGGAATTCCGGGAGCAGGCCGAGAAGGTCGCCGAATGGGATCGCATGCTGGTTGAGAACGGTACCAAGGTCCAGAAGCTGTATGGTAGCACCGTCGACGCCGAGCGTGCTACACAGGAGGTTGAGCGCCAGCTTGCGTCGGTCGAAGGACAGCAGGAGGAGCTGAGCTCGTGGCTGGATCGGTATGAGCGTGAGGTCGACGAGATGATGTCGAAACAAGTCGGACCCGGCGAGAGCTTGCAGGGACCTGACCAGGAGCGTGAAAGAACGTATGTTCTCCTCTACAGATGATTCTACCAAGGAAGTAGACACTGACACACCAGTGCAGTTACAAGCTGGCCGAGAAGCTATCCGAGCGCCTGGACGAGATGGGCAAGGATCTGACTAGCATGATCGAGGAGGTCAATGGCGCCTCCGCGACGCTGAGCAAGACCAATAAGGCGGACGAGCCGGTGAGTGCAAGCTTTTACCAGACCGGTGTTTTGGACACGGCTGCTAACTCGCACCAGATCTCCCAAATTGTGCGCATTCTCAACTCCCACCTGTCTCAACTGCAGGTCATCGACCAAGGCACTAGCGAGCTCCAGGCCAAGGTCAGCGCTGCCCAGAAGGCCGGACAAACGCTGTCCTCCCGGTTTGGCCATGGGTTCAGCAACTCCGGCATGGGAGGCGGCAGCGCGGCGGACGATTTCTACCGGTCCTACATGGGACGGCGGTAAGGGGTGGCGACGCATGACTTGGGATTGTTTTTCATCTAGGTTTTGGCTACTCGGACCGGACATGAGAGAAGCACGAAGGCGTGAATGGTTGTAACATCGCCGGTAGCGACTTGTAATGTACTTGTTATGGATTGATGGATATGGAGCTGTTTCTGCGATGGTCCTGATTTTCGATGATATTCATACCTACTATTCAGGCAATCTGCACATGATTAATACAGCTGCATACGTAAACACCCATCTACGGAGCGTCCTATGTCGAGATAAGTAGGAATATTGGAGTAGCAGATTGTTTGAGTCGGATTATGATGGGAGATCATATTGTAGACTACATCTAGGGTGAACAGGATATGCACGGCGCGATGCTTTCAATCATTGACAGGGGATGATGTGAATTCCGGGACAGCGAGTCCATCCATCATTCAATCTCTGAGTATCGACGCGAATCGAAGATGACAGAGAAAGCGGAAAGGGGCGAGGAGTGTGGCGCGACGGAAAAGAACGGGGATTAGTTCTTCTCGCCGCCCTGCTCCTTCTGGAGATCCTTACTGCGTCGGCGTCAGCGATGGGGCGTTCCACCGAAAAGCCGAGCAAAGCGTATCAATGACGATCGGGGGATACATACAGATGCTGGTCCAGCTCGTTGAGGTGTTTCTGTTGCTCATTGACCTTCTTTCTCAAGGCTTCGAGCCTAAAGAGTCCAGGGTTAGTTCCGGGTCGCGGGATGACCGCCGGTTTCCGGTGTGTGGCTTGGGGGGAGGGGGCTTATTCAACGTACTTCTCCATCTCCTTTTCGTGGATGTAGAGGTTCTCCTGGGCGGCTTCGCGGCGGGTGAATGCATCTCTGCGAGTGCGATGCACGTTAGCTGGGGATTGGGTCTCTTGGTGATGAGGACGGTGATGATGTCATGTATCCGGATCGCCGACCGACGATCGAGACCATCAAGAACGGAGAGAGACGGGCGGGAGAGATGGGAGAGACGTACCCCTGGGCGGAACCGCCGGACCGGGGTGCACCAGTATCACCTTCGGACATTCTAGGAGCGAAGGAAGAGAAAGACCGGGAGACGACGGCGCGGTTGGCGGTGGACAGAGGTCTGATGATGGATTGGCGAAGCATGGTGATGGTAGGTAGGGGGGGTTAGGTAAGGTAGGAGGTAGGGGATGATGAGGATGGGGATTTGATGGGAAGTGGTCAGGAACACGAAGAATTGAAGAGCTCCACTGGAAGGGAAGAAGAGAAGAAAGAGGGGGAAAGGAGGCTTTTATTCGGTGGCCGCTTCTCGTAAGAATGCATCCAGTCGATGAAGCGACCCCCATCGACGTAATGGTCTTGGCAGTCATATGACCTTTTTTCTTCTACAACGTTTGACTCAACTTAAGTACTACGGAGTACCTAGGAGGAAGTAGGTAATGTTTACTATAGTTCCAAATGCCCAAAAAACACTGAGGTACATTTCACTAAGATAGTGTAATGGTCATTTTGGTTAGCCATCATAGATCACAAGTCTGGACTCTTTGCGAGTTTGTGGTTGAGACCTTGGGTACATCTTCTGGACTGAGGATCCCCCAACTGCACCATTCGCAAGAAAGCCTGACAATTCCTGCCTACTTAAACCGTGTATGCCATAGTCCATGAGGACAATCTGGACGACGAGCAGACGATGTGCATCATCGTATCAAGACGTCCTAATTTCCTCCACATTGTCAATGGACCAAATTCCAATACTCGACATCGAAATCTCTAGGCGTTTCACTAGATGATTTGGCATCGGGATTGCTATTTTTGACAGGGCAATTGCGCGTGCCAGTCCAGTTGGAACCAGTGCCTTCATGACTGAGTTACCTTTATTAATTCTTAGATGGCGCTTGCCTCCATGGACATGCGCTGGAACATTCATGAGATACACTGCAAGGAGCTAGACTCTGTGGTTATATAGGCACAATAGATCATCCAAGGGTGAAGTGTCACTGTTCGAGGAAAACATAGGAGTCGGGGCCAGGGCTAGGGCCTAGGACCTGCAGTTGTACCAACTTTCGTAGTACATGTGTTTGGCTGCGTACATGACTTGAGTACCAGGTTCATTGTCTTTTCCATTTATTTGTACGAAAGTTTCTGAGTCCCTTGTACAGCTCTTCATCCGCCACAACTATTACCTGAGAATCACAGCTACGAAAGGGCCAAATATCATGTCTGATCCTGACACGAATTTGAGCGGAAGAGCTCGCCATCTCGCCGCGCTGAAAAGTGTCTTCGAAGGAACCGGAGAACCGTGGGTATATCTTGCCGTGTTCCTGAAATTCCTCTTCGGGGATATCACCTTCTCAAGCATCCGACGTCGCGAAGTCCCGCAGCTCATCCAATGTCGTCATGCAATGATGGACCAAGCTTTTGCGGCCAGCCCCTGTGTTGCAATTAGGACATGGGATAGAAATAAAAATCCAGGGCTAGTGGTTTACGATCTTTGTTTGTCGGCGATGGAATTTCTGCGCAGTTTGGGTAAGGAGGTAGCCCAAGATGAACAACAGGTTCGATTCGGCTGTGCAGTTGGAAAGAGGCAATGTCTAACCTAGATAACAGGACCGAGTCAGTACGAAGATTCGTGTCGCTACCTTGGCTTATCTTTGGAAATTTGCCGATGATCTGGATGATCTACGTCGCGAGTTTTATATCCTGAAGGATCTGCCGCCTGATATCGGAGTACTACACTTGTGTGGTTGCGGGCTCTGTGTGAAGGCCAACGGAAAGGATGTCTTAGGCTGTTGCCAGAAAGAACATTTGATACTGGGATCACTCGAAAACAACATGGACCATAAAGTCAACCATGATATGCTGAGGCTCATCCAGCCTACGGACTACACAGCGCTGATCCAAATCATCCAACGCTCAAAGGACGGCCAAGGCATATTTTGAATGGTCTTCTCATTTGTTAGCTCTGACTACTAAGAAGATATAAATTAATTGCTAGCATATGGTCTTGGGGATGTCCACGGCGAAGGCTGTCGCTTTGTTCTGAGTCACGTTCTATGTCCGTGTCTTAACTATTTCCATTCCTTTCGATCAACATCAGCCGTCACTGTGTCCACCAAATTATTTGATAGAAACCAAATTGAATGGTAATCCCACTAATCCTAGGTCTGGCAGATCATGTATTACTAAAACAATATTGTGTACAAAGCTCTGAATGCTATTATCTTGGACTATCTGGTAGGATTCCTGTGGGATAGTGACAAGAAGAAACTGACTTCGCTCCCAACTGCTATAAAAATATGAATGATTTTAGACAGGCCAACAAGATTGTAGAAATATCGATTCACCCATGTCTCACGCTAAGTCATGCCGCTGATGTATGTGACTGTCGATGGTACGTTCGGTAAAGACACAGTGAAAGGTACCCATGGTCTTCTTTGATGTTGGCTGTACCTGGGTAACCAACGTTGGAAGGCCTCGATATCAATAACGAGCAGGTAGCAAGGATGCCTCGTGTTCTGAGCTGTAGAAAGTTGATTGATATCATCTAAAATAAAGACCATCCATAGACTCTTATATTTGGTACATTAGAATTATCGAAAGTTCAAACGGATAGCCAGGAAGCTCCCAACCTATAGTGTAGTTACCATCACTATCATCGCGCATTCACGCCGCTTCAACCGTTTCCCAAACACGGTATGGCGCCTTCACCACCATATTCTGTTTCTCTTCAGTGCGGTCCTATATATTCCCCGCCCCAATACATGGGACCCCATAAGCTTATCATCCTCTTTCCCCAGATTCTCCCCCCATCCCATTCTCCCCCTTCGTGTGGGATCACTCACTCGCCATGAATCTTTGGTAGGGCCTGTTTCTGTAAGCGTCCGCTGGATTTGTCGCAGATGTTCAAACCTACAAGAGCAAATTCATGCTCCAGAGTACGCTCAGTATGATCTGTCATTCAAAAATGACCGCTAGGCCATCAAAAATGTGAGCACACTGATGGGGCTTTGTATGGTCCATATCTGAGGTTTGACATGATTTCATTTCCAAACGTCATGTGGTTAAACTCCCACGCCAACTCAGCCCCTATAGTTCCTTTCAGCTTTGCATACCGCAATTTTTGACCCTCGTGCGGCATGCCACCTTCTTCAAAGTCCGCTTTACCTCGCTGCTTGTCAGCTCCCACAACTATGACATCCTTAACTTCAATGCCTGAAGCTTCGACATTTGAGGCGCTTATATTCGTGCAAGGGCCCACGAGACAAGACAGACCCAGCAATGCGGCGCGACGGGAGCTAGACAAGGTTATCAGAACGACCAAAGCCCATTTCCCAGGCCGCCATCGGGAAACCGAACCAATACTCGACCTCGACCTCGGTCACGAGCTGAGAGATGGAGAGTTCAGAGAGATTAGACGAGTTCTGGATGAGACTGGGGTGAAATACGAACTCGACGAATATATTCATACTCTGTACATTTCTGCAATGACCATTCCCATCCATGACAGCTTGGATGAATTCGCACTTTCCTGTTGGTTACGACTGAAGAGTGAGACCTTTACGTCAGAGGCGAAATGTCTCCGAGCTGGTGTTAACTCAATGCGCCTTGACGGAAATATCAAAAGCGAAGGCACCAAGCCTCAGGCAAGAAAGGTCCCCCGATTAAGCATTGGCTTTTTATGAGCCCCAGACACGCCGCCGTTATCATACCGTTATCTTTGAAGCGGGCTTCACTGAAACATATGACGATCTTATACGGGATATTGTCACTCAAAAATGAAGGCTAGGCGACCAAACTGTTAACATCGATGGGGCCCTCTATGGTCCATATATGGCTTAACAGATATAAAGCAGTGGTTCCTACACAGTGGTAGCCAAGTCCCGCTGGTCGTCATCTTGGATCCTTAAAGAGGATCAGAAACAGCTCAAGGAACAATAGAAGAGCATCCTCGAAACTTCGGGAACTCGCTTGGAAGCAGTAAACACGCAGATATTCTGTCGTCGACGGCAGATGACAGATGACTGTTCAACGGAATACTCGAACCGTGCATATCCCCAGTGCACCGATTAAAGAACTAGATTGTACGGATATCCGTGTCTTCCTTGCTTAGAAGTTTGTCTACCTCTGCTCTATTTATCGTTCTCAGGAGAATTTTTTGGCAGAAACTGTATCTATGTACTTGTATAGGCAGATCCAAAGTAGTAAATCTAACCGTAATAGGAAACCGGCGGATGCTGCCCACTTGACATCACAACTTTGGACTCTGGACGCGCTGTTGATATCGTACGACGCTTTGATTACTGGGGTACCACTTTAAGGATTATTTGCCGAGTACTCCGTGTACTGGTAGATTACAGGTCACAGGTCCTCTGTAGAGAGACCGTGATCCAATGACGACATCACCGATCATGTGACCCGAGTGTATCAGCATGATCAGGTGAGCCCTGCGAGGAGCCTCGCGATTATTGATTTTGAGAGATTATTTCCGTGCCCATGTCTAACTACCTAACCTATCTTCTAGACCGATCGGTCGGTTGACCCTGTTCTCCATATGCTGTGTACTCGGTAACGTTGTTGGGGAGAGGATCTGACGGATGGAGAATCGACCCAATGCAGACAGTGGTCGGGTCGAAAATACTAGCTATGATGGAGTCGGCCGTCGACCGACTACTGAATACGGTCGAACCACGCGAGTCCTTAGTACAGTAGACTATTTATAACTAAATCTCATACTAGAGGATATCCTAAATCATCTGCAGCTGTGCTAGAATCATGGCCGAAAAGGAAATCACGGGAAGAAAGAGGATCTCTGGTGTGGGCGGGACGATTGGCGGGAATGAAATAGGGATGACGATAGGCGGCCCACCCGAACCACACAAACCGACAAGTTCCATCTGGACGATTTCACGGAGAGAAGTTGGGGGAGCGAAGCCGCTGGAGGGCGTCAAGAGGAGGAAATCTCGTAGAGGGGGGGACAGCAGTCATAGTCGGATGAATCGATCATGTTAGATCCAGTGCGTGGTTCGATGTAGATAAGTCAGATTCCTGGGAGAATTTCAAGAATTCAATAATAATATTGGTGAGGGATTCTGGAGGCTTCTGTTATCCTGAGGTGTCGAGGCCACCGCCTCCCTTCCCCCCTCCTTCCCTCTCCCTCCCCTTCTCTTTTGGCAGTGTGTCTACTCTCACTGCGGATTGACCCCCCTCCTCCTCTCTCCTCTTCTTCTCCTTCTCCCTCTTCCTTCTCTTTCTCTTCCCTTTTTCCCTTCCCCCCCTCCGCTTATACTTTTCATTCCCACTACTATCCCAACACTTCCTCCTCCTTCTTCCACCTT